CCACACGAAAACGCTTTTGGGGGTTTAAAAAGAAGAAAACAAGTCCTGCTTCCTTTCGAAGCCTTTCCGAGCATCCGTTGTGAATACTTTTGCGAATACACTTGTTTTCTCCAGGAAATGCTTTTATTAATTTAGAAATCTCATCACAATTATTTTTTCACTTTGGAGGCATTCTATTCAACTTCCATTGCTGTGGAATGACCTTAGGCTCCGGCATGGACTCCATGTACCGTTTGCAACACAACTCCAGCTCAGCCGGGGGCTCTTGTGGTTTTGGCCAGTCCGATCTTCCCCAGCAGTCCCTGCGCACCGGGTCTGCTGTTTCCCACAGCTGTTTGGCAGCTTCCAGACAAGCTTCCGTTTCGTTATCGAAAGTGCTTTTGCCCTTGCCTTTGCCCTCCTTTGGCTCGGAGGCCAAAGCCTGGAGGCGCTAGCGGGGGCGGCTGCGAGGGCAGCCCTCGAAGGAGGTTGGAGGTAACCACCTCCTCCCTCCGGGCCAAGCATCTTGTTCATTCATCAGGTTTCAATTCAGTGTTGTGCTTTCGGCAGAAGTTTCTTGAATACACTACAACAGGTTGCAGCAATGGTGTGTGGAGGGGATGTCGTGCATGCACATGTTTTCAGCCCGTGTCATTGATTGTGGATGTAACGTCACAACTGCCTCGCTTTTGGTGGAGTGATGCTGAAGTCGCACCGAAGCCATAACGTAATACGGCAGCACCTAGATCAACAGAGGATTCGCGTTATGTTCAATACCAGCCGGCAAACACTAGCCGTTTTTACAGAAAGGCATGCTACTTGAATATTGAGTGAGTTGTTCAGATCAAAATGCACACGAATGTGGAGGTGTGTTTTCTTGCTTCGAATAAATTTCCGATTTTTTTCAGCTTGTGACTCGTGTTTTGGGCACAATCTAGGTAAGATTTTTCTGAGGTTTGAAACATGGATGGTATCGTTTCCAAGGGTCTTCTGCAAAATTGTCGCGTTATCTTTTTGGCGTTTCTGCCAGAACTATTTGGTTGAATTTGTTTCTGTCGCCGTTTGGCCGGAGCTTATGCCCAAACGGGGCAGACAGATATGCAGATCAAAATGCACAAACGCTGTTACCTTTAATGCTCCACCTTGGTCGTGACAGCCGCCCATAAATTTGCCACGTCAGAGGAATTGTTTTTTGCACAGTAAGTGCGACGACTGCCGGCGAACCATATACAATAATTCACTGCAGCAGCAAGTATATTTTTTTCTGCACCATTCCTGGAGATCACAAATCTTAGTGATAGTGGTTTCAGAGTCTAAAATTTAGGCATGTTTTCCGGTTGGAGCCCCCCCCAACATGGTCGGATTAAAACACTTTGATGACGTCGACGTGTTGGATGTGTCCAAACCGTTCCGGCCTGAGTTTGGAGGATGTTCACGCTTGCCATGTGTGTTGTCCAGTGTTGTCCTATGCAATTTGCATGTCGCCAGGCTTGCACCAGACCTTTCGACAAAGAGCAAAGGGGTGCGCTCCTGGAGAGCAGCGCTGTGTGGCTTTGGCATCATTCTCAGTGTTCGTCAAGCCCTTCACCTCCTGACCCCAGAATCATTCGATGGTGATTCCTTCATGGACACCTTTGTAACATCAGCTTAATTCCCGCTTCTTGCAGCCCGCAATCCTGATAAGGTGCTCTTTCATGACGGTAGGGCATCTGACCCCCTCTTTTAAAAGCCGAAGAACCATCCTTGGATCGATGGTTGGGAGCCTACCGTCCCCGTGCCGGATTTGTTGAATATACTGTCCTCGGAGACCAAACCGAAAGGTTCGCGTGGCGCAAGTTCGGACGGCTTACCACAGTGCTTTCGTATGGTTTCGGCATGCCGGGAACAGCTTCATCGCGGACGTGCCACAGTGCATTGTCAGTGTTTGCTCATTTTCGACGGCCGTATTTGTGGTGCAGAATCCACTTGCGTGTCATCTCCAAGTCGTAAAGGCAGCATCGAAAACCAAATCGTCGACAAGCACAGGAGTTGATACAAGCATTTGCTGGACTCCGTGCCGGTGCCTCGCTCGAATTCCCCCACCTTTGGTCAGGAGAGCATTGGCTGCCACGGCTGGCACGGTTGCTAATTTGGCAGGTTCTGAAGTGCAGATGACTGCTCTTCAGACGAGACTGACTACGATCTAATGCGAAATTAGCTGCTAGCGTCCGAACAGTGTTTGTTTAAGGCTTAGGAAGGTTCGGGTAGGGTTTAGGCTAAGTTAGGTTAGGGCTCAATCTAGGTTAGGCAGGGTTAGGTTTCGTGAGGTCAGGTTAGCGAGTTTAGAGCGGATTGGGTGAGGCCAGGGATTAAGATTGGAATATGCTAGGCTAGGCCAAGCTTGGTTAGGTACGGACTTAGGATGGTCGGTCAGCTTGGGTTGGGTTAGGGTTTGTAAAGGATCGGTTGGCGACAGGTTGGGGTTAGCAGGCTAAGTCGGGTTAGCTTAGGGCTCAGGGTTAAGTCAGGCCAGGCCAAGATGGTTGGGGTTAAGTTCGGGTCTGGGGTAGATGAGCATATAGATCAAGTTAGAGTGGGTTTGAGTTCAGGTGAGGTTAGGTTAGGTCCGCAGTTATGTTGGGCTGGGGTGTTAGGTTAACATGTATCAGAATAGGTTCGGTGAGGCTAAGTCAGGGCTTGTTAGGTAAGGTCAGGGCAGGTTAGGGTTTTCATAGGTCGGGGCTTTCATACCCGATCCCAGCAAAGCCATACCCTGGGCGCAATCTTAGGTGGAGCTAGGAAACGGAACGCAACACGGCCTAGGGAGCAAGGGAGATGGTGTCTCAGTGCCAAGCCGGCTGGCGAGTCGGGATTCGTGCACTGCAGGTTCGAAGAGAAAGGCTGCTGCCCAAGTCGCCCGACAGGCGCCTGGGCAATGCAATTCCCATTCTTGCACAGTTGTCGATGCATGCCAAAGTTAAGGTAAGGTGAGTGTTTGGTGCACGTCCTTGGTCCTGCCCAATGTTCTGGTAAGCCCAGACATTCAGTGCGTTTGATATCCTCTCCTTGTGATCGGTGTCCTCCATTTGCAACAGATGCCCCTCTTTGTCCACAGACGACTGTGAATGGCAAGGGCACGGATATGGGTACGTGTATGCCTCGGTGTACATACATCTACATGTACACATACATGTTTGTTCATGAGCACACACATACGCATGCGCGCGCACACAAATACACGTGTGTGTATGTGTGTGTATATATATACACACGCACGCAGGTGTATGTATTTTTTCATCACCACACACATGTATGTTTGTATGTATGTGTGTATGTATGTATGTATGCATGTATGTATGCATATCTCTGTCAAACTCACTGGTGCACATGTGGATCGTTTATTGCTAAGTTAGTATTGTCATCATGCCTGTTGGTATTACATTCGTCATCATTGTATTTGTTGTTCGGTTGAATTAGTTATACGTTCGCAGACAGACGCAGACATGCATGTGTGCACAAACATACATGTATTCAGTCATTGACCCATTGATTCATGCATTTGTTCGTTCATTCATTCCCTCATTCATGCATACATACCTCCTTCCTTAGATCTTCTTCTCTGCTTTCATTCATTAGTTCATTCGTGCGTGCATTCATAGTACCTGCACCATTTTGGCAGATGTCTTCGTCTTTGTTTCTTTTGAGTGGATAGTTGATTCCAGATTTGAAGGTGCCGATGCTTCGCAAGCGCTCAGTTGCATTTTTTCTTGTGCCCGGAATGTCTCTGAAATTGATGTGCGTGTGCCAGGAAGCTGCGGCAATTGACGTTGACGTGGAGAACGAGAATGCGGCAACAGCAATCGCCAAGAAGGCCGATGTCGAAGAGGTGCGAGAAGGACTGTAACTCTCTGTGTGATGTTTGACAGTTGGCCTTTGCGATTTTCGCGACATTGCGCTTGTCAAAGACAGCCATGCCATGTTGCTGAACAGGCCGGCCTGGATGCAGACAGGTGCCTAGTTATGCAGCCCGAGAAGCCGCCGCCTCAGACCCTCATCATTACATTCATTGCATTTTGCTACTGCCCGGGCCTGTGCAGCCAGGTTGCCCGACCGGCAAGAATTGGATGATTTGAAGGAAACAGTCTCTGGGTATGGCTGGCACGACTTTTTCCAGAGCATTGGATTTTGGGCGATGTTCGTTGTTGCAGCCTTTGTGATCAGGAAATTTCTGGCTGATGTGTCTCAGCCTGCTCAGCGAGTGTCGAGTGACTGGGGGGTTGAGCAAACTTGTCGTTGCAATTCGAGCACAGCCCAAGAACACACTAGAAGCCTGCATCTGCAACATGTTGTCGCAGCCGACGGAGTCTTGGCCCTTCACAGGATGTTTTGACGAGCTTTGAATGTGATGCGAGATTGCCATTGGACTTCTGCAGGTACTCGGAACGTCAGGGGTATTCAAGACATGTAGTAAGATGAGCCGAGCCATCTCATTGCACAGCTGCATGGTAATACGTTAGAGTCTCTCCAGATGGCCAGGTTGCAAAGCCAGCTTCACACTTTGCGGAGGGACAATGGTGCCCTGCGATCAGCACTCCTTGGACGAACAGGCGTCGTGGGATTGGATCCAGACACCAGCAGAATGTCCGTCTAGAAATGCGACAGCAGCAGGTGGCAGTCTCCCTGTCGACGTTCCTCTCTCATCACTTGCACTGCACTTGGGGTCTTACCGCGATTCTTTACAAAGCGCAGCTCATGGTGCAAGTGCCTTAGGCTCCCGAGTGCGCTTCCACATCTGTTGGCAGCCTTCCAGCCGCGACAAGTTCAACTTCTGATGCTGCTGCTGCTGCTGCTGCTGCTGCTGCTGTACATGTCAGCAGCTCAGACATTGACGAGTGTACTCTTTTCTGAAACGGGGTTGCTTGTATGCGTCAGGGTGAAGATGAGCTGGCAGAGGCTGTAAACGCCTCCGAAGGAGCTGAGTCAGGCCCCGGCCGGCATGCAACGGGAGAGATTGTATCTCCGCAGTCTCAGGACGATGCTGGCAGCCCAGATGGTTCGAGCACTGTTCTTCCTGTTCTTTCGTCCCAGCCGAGGTGACTCGGATAGCAATTCTGTGGGGCATCATAGCGTAAGAGCTACTGGCTGTCTCGTCCTTGGACGTGCCTCAGGTGGAAAGCAAGAAAGCTTCGAATTGGAGGCCGCGGATGTTTGCTGCATGCTATCAGCTATCACGAACCTGAGCCTGTTCATGCGAACTTTTGTTTCATGGGATCAGGTGTTTGGTCTCAACAGGCTAAGGCTTTGCTGTTAAAGCACAGGCGGGCTTGTATTGGCGATCTTCAGGACATGCGATCGACTGGCCAACTTTGTGTGGGCTGACATACTTGTCTCCCTGCAATCGTTAGGCTTTTGTCCGGCAGGCTATATCAAATAGCGAGGTTGGGTACAGCTCTGTTGATCTGCTGTAGGTGCATTCATCACTTGACCGAAACACGCAGTTCTCTTCTGACGTCATCCGTAAAATGACGTGTTTTTTGTGTAGTTGCAATGCTGTCGCCGTAGAATAGATGGCTACACCAATCTGTTGTGTTGTGCAGTCCTCCATGCTCACCTACGCAAGCGGATGCTTCAACCAGAGCGGGCGGTGCACTCGGACAACGGATGGGTATCTGAGTCGAGATTTCACTTCTCACACATGCTCTCAAACGATGAGGGAGCTGGATCCCTTCAAACTCGTCTTCAACATGCTCTCCTCCAAGGCTGCCGCGGCTGCTGCTCTTTTTTGCCTTGCACGTCTTGCAACTCTAGAAGTCTAGAAGACGATACTCACTTTGCGAATACCATGCAAGGCCTGTCTGGGAAACACCCTCGAATTCTGCACGAGAGCGAGCGTCGCCTTCGCTGCCTGAGCTTGAGAACACATCGGAACCTTAGCATCAGCAAGTACTTGGTCCCTAAATCCAGGTCTGTCGAGACACGGGCGGAGAGAGCCCCAGCGCGGAATGACTTGGGCTGGTGCGGGGCATTTGCAGTGAAGGTGTGAAGTGGTCCAAGCGGCGGGTTACAGTTGCGTGGCAGGTCCAGCCAGTTCCGGACTGGCCGGGACAGCCGCCTGTCTTTACTTCAAAGAGGAGTGTGACGCTACAGAGATTGATTGTTTTGGATGCCTAGCTGTGTTCTACCCGCTCGAGTTGTGGTGTCGGGTCCTACTTGCACAATGGCGTTTGTCTGCGTTTTTCTGTTCTGGTTGTTTTGGGTTTGGTCGCGTGAAGGGGCTTTGGGAGTCGTGTGGAATGGCACAGTCAGGCAGTCACCATGACTTGAAAAGATTCGGAATCCACAAAATTTTGCAAACCTGCAAGGCACGAGCTCCAACAATGTGCATGTGAACGTTGGAACTACCCAACGACTGTCTTGATCGCGGAGGCGACATATCAGTGCGTGCAAGCACACCAAAAGACCACGACACGAAGTGCACGATTCTCACGATATCTAATATGATTTCACGGTCGTAAATCGTAATTTCGTCGCTTGGAACGTAGCCCTGGTTGAAAACATATGCAGAGTTCCTGGCAAACACAGGCGACACACAAAAAAGGCAACATGGTGACCAGCTGCAAATTGCACGTGCAGTCCGAATACAATAAGAATCGCATTTTCAAATTTAAGCGCATCATGAACACGTTACTCAAAGGTCATGGTTGTCAGAGCCACTGTTAGGACGATGGCTAGAGTTTCTTGCAATCTTGGTGGAAGAGGTGCCAGAGACAAGGATTACTGACAAGGATTACTGATCTCGGTTTGACCTTAGCTCCCCCCTCGATGCATCCAGGTAGAGGCAGCCAGAATGTTGTGAAACCTGCAGTAGATTGCTTGCTTGCAGTGAGACTTGCCATGTGTGGTCCCCAGTGCGGCCTTTGAGTTTGGAACACTTGCAAGAGCCATTTGTTTGTGTGTGCCTGCGTTCGGTGGGTAAGGGTTCTTGCTCCTGCTCGGCTTGCTGTGCAGCCGACATGATCGGAGCTTCCGGCCGCGTTTGTGTCTTGACGTTCTTTTTTCTGGGAGCGCAGCCGACCGAAATGCTCGTTGATTTTCTCACTGTTGGCTTGTGTGTAGTGTAGGGTCAGTCTCTCCAAGTCTTGTCTTGCCAATGTGCGTTTTTTGTAAGGAACGCTTTACAATTTTGCAGAGATATCGGAACACGAAGACTCGCACAACCATGCAATGTCGGTGTCATGGAACAGTTCCGATAATCCGATACCTTTCGACAAGCCCCGTTTGCAAACGTCCCCGTCTAGTAATCCCCTCCCCCCAATATTTAACGGGGCTGCCCCCGCCCCAATAGAAATATTAGGGGGTATTTTCATCTCTACTGCCACTTTGGAGGTCGTGCTCCTGCTCCTGCTCTGTTGCCCCGGCTTCTGCTGCGTCTCCTGCGCCTCCGCTCTTGCTGTTGCTCCTGCTTTGGCTGCTCTTGCGCTTGTTTTTGCAATTGCTGTTCTGCTCTTGCTCTTCCTCCTTACTCCTGCTCTTGCTCTTAGTCACTGTGCTCTAAGGGTCATTTGGAGCCTCGAAACCTTCCCCCCCAAATCCAGACTAGGTTTTAAAGGCTGGGAGAATTTCGGGAGGATTGGCCCCAAAGTGTTTTTATTATTAGGGGGGTGTTTAATAAATGGGGGAAGTGATTAGGCTACTTCTTTTTTACTCATCGCAGATGCCTGTTGTGAGCTACGCTGACGTACCCAGGTCGCGATGAAGAGTCAGATCTCGAGGACCAGAGATTGGAATGCTTGCCGAAAAGGGAGGCGGGTGCAACGAGTTCTCGCGAGAGGAGTCGGACTGCCCGGAAGCGCCTCCAGAATCAGAGGAGGCCAGGCCACGGACTTCGAGACCTCCCAAATCCCCTCCGAGGGCACTGATGGGAGCGACGTGTACACAGGGATGCACGACCTGAGTGTCTGTCGTGAAGAAGTATACGTGGTATACTGCTTTAGATTGATTTTTCCGGATGCTGTTGTTATCCCTCGGGTGCGCTGCTGTCGGATGCACTGTGTTTCAAGAGAAACAAGAGTGCTTGAATGCTTTGGCACCACTGCACGGAAAACGGGCAAAGCTTGAGGATCCCAGGCAAGCCTGCCCCACGAAATATTTCTGTCTATGTCATCTACTCATCTGGAAGGGGCCATCACAAATCTATAGAACGTCTACATCAGACTCTGTTTTACCTGTGTGTGTGCGCGCGAGACCGGGTGCATTGGTGTCGAAGGACCCCTTTCACATAAACGATCGAAGCAAAGCCTAGCCAGGTCTCCTTATACATTTATACACAGCGAAACTTTATAGACTGCAGAAAGTCTGAAAACTGCCGAGGAATGTGTGTTGAGCTTGTGAGGAACCTTCGTCACCTGCGACAGTTGCAATCTCAGACCACGGCACATTCATGGTCTCAAACTGACAGGCCTTGCGACCCAAGGCACCAGCAGCAGTCTGGGTGCCCGGCGTTGGACAAACGAAGGCTTGCAATCTGGGATAGTTTCGGCTGTCCATACAACTCCGAAGGGTATAGCGCTTCATGTGTGGGGAGGCGATTTCTGACGAGCGGTCGGACAGATGGGCTATTTTGCTTGAGCCTCAGATATTTGCATCATGGCGTACAGTGGCCACCTTGGAAGCTACTGATCGGAGGCCATTTCCAAATGTGTCAACGCAACAGCCGGAGCCTCTCAGTGGAGTCGCTTGGCCGAGAAGAGCGTCAAGTTCAGCTCAAGCCTGTCAGGATGGTTAGTGACACGAAGCTGGGCGGGTCAGGCATGTTTCACTCTTAGGCTCACAGTGGTTTCCAGGGGGGTTGCCGCTCTCACGGCAGCCCTACATGCCGTGGAAGCGTCTTCCTCCCTCAGACCTCTCCGGTGGCTCTCGTTCTTTTGAGAGTAGCACATTCTAGCTGGCTGTTTGATCCTACGAGCTGCCTACAAGGATAAGACATGCTGAAGATAACCTGCGATAGCCAGTCTCGGATCTGCAAAAGCATTCTGAGACAGGTAGCTTCTTGTAGATTCCGGCATCAACCTGATGCTTGGTGCACCCGGATCTCAGCAGTAAAGCACGCATGCAGCTCCTGCCCTGCCATCCTCGACGATTCCACGCTGTGGATTTGGTCCGTGCATTCTTGAGCCTTGATGCTTCGAACGCTCGTTGCCATGTTCCGGCTTGGGCTCGAGGCGTTGCCCTGAACGACCGTGCCTATTGGCAGCATGCGAACTCAGTGCCAGAGGCTCAGTGCTACAGAGATCGGACCTTGGTGGTTCAAAATGGTGCAAAACTGGAGTGGTCCGCCGCTAATCTGCGGGTTCCTGCTGTCGCAGAGGGGGATATCATCTCTTATGCGCCTGCAGAAATGAAAAAAGAGAGCACTTTCACGCAGTACGAGGGGTCACTCCACTTCTCTTCACCACGGAGGGAAAGAAGATACCACCCCGCTCAATATTCCGTTGGCTGGTATGCCGGCAATTTGCTGACCCCTATGCTCCACGTAAGTCAGCAACAGTGTGATGGATCTGACTGCAACGCGGGACCGTGACTCCAGGGGCATGATCACTGAGGTTGAACATCTTTGTGTTTCGGTGAAGGGCTGCGACGCTACGACCTGTTGGCATGATTTCATCTTGGTCCTCCCTTTGAGGCTGTGTGCCACCAAGGGGTCCGCCCCCCCGAAAAAACGAGAGAGAAGGTGATGGCGGGGGCAAAAGTTCTAGTAGACTTGAGTGCCTGAGTTTGTCGTACTGACGTGCAATGTTTGCTGTTGCGCCACTTGCATCAGGCCCCATGCAATTACTAGTGGGGGGAACCTCTCTTGGGAGTTGGCGGTCTCCAGCAGGAACAGAGATCAACTCATGCAAGCAACCTCTTCTTTTTATAAGGGACCCTGCAGTATGCAGAGGTAGAGTTGGAATCTCTCCGTGATGTAAGGGCTCAGGTGGCTTTCTCACATTGGCATCTCCTCAAAAGCTCCCTCTGAGAAGTGGCCCGCCTACGAACGAAAGACAGAAATTGAAGTTTTCAGCACAGCACGGGTAGTTTTCCTCCGTGTAGTGTAGTGTTGAATATGCAATTGGCTGCCTGCTTGTACCCAAGCAGTTGCAACACCCAGGAACTCCCATGTCATTTGGTCTGATATGGCGGTGGGCCTGCGAGATTTCCGTTTTCCGTGGCAAGACGAGTTCAGCATGTGCTTCTGTCCATCATGTGCAGCTCCATGGCAGACAGTGGTTAAAGTTCAATGCGACGACGGTGAGATTTACCGCCTCACGCTTCAAGCAGAGCGGGGGCCTTAGCCGCCTCTCGCCAGGAACTAGAGGGGCTCTAAGAACTTGAGCGGAATGGGCCGTCCCAAGGCCGAGCTTCGAGTCCGTGGTGCAGGTGGTCGCGAGCTGCCGCTGCTCGGACGGTGAGTTTCAGGGGTTCGAGACGACAGCCCAGTTGGAGCCCAGTTATCAGACAGACTTACCTTTGCAATGAATCTTGATTCTGGCCCTTATTGTGGACCAAGGCTAGTTGACATGGGCTTCCCAGACCAAGGAAGGTGATTCAGAGGTCTGCTCTCCCCTTTGTTGTCTCTGTTACGCCCCACGCACTTGTAACTTGTTTGCTCCGAACTGCCATCTTTGGGACGTCAAGCTTCTTCTGATTCAGGGTTCGCCAGTAGGCTAAGGAGGTAAGTGTGGTCTGCTAAATCACCGAGAAGGTTTTGCAGAGCGAGGGCCACACGTGCAAGCACACTATCAGCTTTTGCAGTGTGGGTGTGGCTTCACCCTAGTGATCTTCCTTTGTGCTGCCAAGGTCCTGAGTTGACAGCCGCGCTGCTTTGTGAAGGCGGCAGCTGTGCTCTGAAATACGCGCGGAGCTTTTCACTAGAGGTTCCAGAACGAAGCGGCTGCGTAATGTCATCCCTCGATGTGGTAAGGCCGACGAAGAAGGAGATCTGTGCACTCTTGCACCATCTACGTTCGTGGACTTTCTTGAGCAGTGCGCCCCACAGCACAGAGACAGTTCTATCACGGTAGCATGGATCTGTGTTCGGACTCTTTTGCCAGTGCTAACGCAGTAGTCAGTTCATGCCAGGCAGCGAGGATCGAGCAGTCGCTTGCTGAAGCCCAGCCGGCTTAGTTTGGGGCGAATGTGCATGGAGTCGAGTTGAGAGAGGCTTACTAGATGAGATATAGGGTTTCTGCATCGCGTCAGGTTGAAGCTGTTCCTTCCCAAGCAGCCAGTTTGCGAAAAAGATGCTTCAAGCCAGCAGGAACTTGAAAGACCAGAGAGGCAGGGAGCGCGGGGAGCGCTGTCCTGGTCCTCCGAAGCGCAAACCCGTCAGGAGAGCGCCTCTCGAAAGGCAAGGCGGGTCTGTCGATCCACCGCCGGAGTCAAAGTGTGGAAAATCAAAAGGGCCAGTGCCTTTCTTGTGGTCTTTCCGAGGATCCAAGGACCGCCGCCTGGGCTTGAGAAGGAGGAGCCATTGACACCCCCGGCACGCCCCACGTTCTGCACGTCACATGCTGCTCTATTGGAGGAGACCGGCGATTGCTTTGGCGGGTGCACTGGTGGTCCCGGAGCTTGGGGCCGGGGGCTCCGCCACTGTTGCGCGAAGCATGCGTTGCTGCACAGATTTTTGCAGCAGGCCCTGGTGGTAATGGTGGCGGGCCTCGCCGTCTTCTGGCTGCGCTGCGCATGTTGCAGGTGCGCTGGCCTGCAGTCTGAATTTGTCTGTCCTCCTTAGAAGTGCCCTTATGTTTGTAGGAGACGGGGATGCTCACTCCCGCCATGTTCGCGTCACTGGCTGTGTCACGCGAGCTCGCTTTTTCAAGCATGCATCTCGCATTGACTTTCCAAGAAAAGCTCCAGGCAATGGCTTCCGCTTTTGACACAGCGAGTTGCACGCAAGGTCGACAAGCGCAAGCCTCGGCTTGCTTGCTTGGACTTGAGCGAAAGCAAAGCTCATCCAGGATTAACCATGTAGCTCGCGATGGTCTCAACGAGACATGGAAAAAACTTTTGGAAAGAATCCAGGAGCCAAGAGTGCGTCCCAGTGTGACGATGCCTTCTTGGGGTTTCACCTGCTGGGATTTGGGGCCTGAGAGGAGCTGGCAGCAGAGACTCCGGGATTGGAGTCCTTTGCTTCTCCGATCTCGGAGGCGGGGATTCGGAGGTGTTCACATGTGCGCAGAGAGAGAGAGAGAGAGAGAGAGAGAGTCTGTCTTGTTCTCTTCTGAAAACCCTTTGAAAAAAGGCTCTTCGAGGCGGCAACGGGCAGAGGCCCCCCTTGGATGCCTCGGCAGCACTTTCCAGCGGATGTCCTCACGGCGGGGGTCAGGCGGCTTGGTGAAGCCATCCTCGAGCTTCTGAAAGCACTGCGAGGGCTCAGCTTCGAGGTTCGCAACGTTCGCATCCGTTCGCCTTCATCCAGCAATGGCATCCCTCCTTTCAGGTTCAAACGAGCTTCTGTGAGCAAGTTTCTGCCAGCCTGCTACCTTTCCTGGAGGAGCTTCGCATGCGTAAGCAGTCTTTCACCGTCTGTACACGAGAACCTTTTGGGCCCCGACTGATCCGTTGCCCTGAAAGGATCTCACCCGATCTTGGACTGGCGATGAGTGTGCGCCGGATTCTTTTTCCAAGTGCAGAGTCGCTGTGGCCTCTCGGGTGCTTACGCAGCACAGCCGAGGCCAAGCGGAAATATGACTCCGTGGCCTGCCACCTAGCAGACGAAGATCACAAAGATGAAGGGAGGGCGAGCGCGCCAGGCAGCACCATTTCGGCATCAAGTGTGAGGGCTGCGGTGTTAATCCCATTGTGGGCCCACGCCGCCACCCCACTTCAGAGTTGGGCATTGTGGGACTGCTGCAAAAAGTCTTGGCAGATTTCCTCGGCTGAGGCTTCAAGTGCCCGGTCTGTCCCAGCTACGACCTTTGCCTGCTCCTGAAAAGAATGGTAGGTGGGTCCATGTTTGTCTGAGCTTTCGTGAAGTGCCAAGGTGGCAATTGCTACCCGTCAAAGCTCCAACTGCACGGGAATTGCCCTGGCTGCCGCAAGGACTTCCAGTGCCTTATCTTCCCAGGCCAGCTTTCGTTTAAGCTCGACCGATTTGGCTCAACATGTTAGTAAGCTGTACAACTACTGGTTACTAGCCTGCTAGTTTACTAGTTTACTAGTTTACTAGTTTACTACTTTACTACTACTACTACTACTACTACTACTACTATACTACTACTATACTACTACTACTACTACTACTACTACTACTACTACGACTACTACTACGACCACCATTCACCACCACCACCACCACCGCCACCACCACCACCACCACCACCACCACCACCACTACAACATTGTACTGGCATTCCAGAACCGCTTTCGTTGAAGGCAGTTTTAGTCATTTTAAATGACCGTCATCTAGGTCATCTTGAGGCAAATGACGCGCGCGTCCTGTTGGCGGGGGCCAATAACACGTCATTTGGGTAATCTTGGTAATCTTGCACCACTCGTACCACATGCACCAATTGCACCACTTGCACCACTCGCCCCGAAATGACCACAAATTACCAGCGCCCCCTCACCCCCTCTGCCCCGCGGATACCACTTGCACCACTTGCTGAGGGTTTGGGTTTATAGAAATTGCATAGGGTTTGGGTCCCGAGTTTTGGGGCGGGTTTTGTCGGGTTTTGTTTTTTTGCTTTTGTCTAGGCTGCTGCCCCCCGCCTTGCCCTGCCTTGCCCCCCCTCCCCCCTGTGCTGCCCCGCCCTGCTCCCTCTGTCGCCTGCCCTGCCCCTGCCCGGTCTGTTGAGCTGCCACTACCCCCGTCCCACCGGACTTATTGCCACAAACCGCAAAAGAAATTGCACCGCTCAACATACAACTTCAATTTTTTCATTGGCTTGTGGTTTTAGGGTTCATGGTTGAGGGCGTTAGGGTTGTAGGATTTATGGTTTGAGGGTTTGATTAGGGATTAGGGTTCAGGTTTGTGCGTGCCCGGCGCTCTGCATTTAGGGTTTGGCTTTTGGGTTCGTTTAATAGTGTAGGGTTGATGGGTCTAGGGGGTGTTCCTTACGGATGAAAGGGTTGGGGGTTGTGCGCGCCCGGCGCGCGCATCGGTTCAGGGCTTGGGCGCCTGGGCTTTTGGGTTTGGGGTTGTAGGGTTTATGCATGGGTTTTAGTTGGGGTTGCGGGCGCCTGATAGGGTTTAGGGATTTAGGGTTTGGCTTTATTGATTAGGCTTTAGGGCCGCACCCGGCGCGCAGTTTAGGGTTTAGGGGTTTGGGTTTTGGGTTGGAACACTACGGAGTTTTGGGTTCAGGGCTCAGGGTGTGAGGGATTAGGGTTGAAGGGTTCAGGGTTTAGGGCCACGTGTGTCTGAAAGGTTTGGCAGTTTAGGATTAGGGTAGGGTTTAGGGGCGCGCTCGGCGCGCACATCGGTTTAGGGTTTTAGGGGTGTAGGTGTAGGGTTTGGGGCGCCTTGGCGCGTGCGTATCAAGTGGTGCAAGTGGTATCCGAGGGCTGCACCAGCAGCAGCACCAGCACCAGCAGCACCAGAAGCAGCAACACCACCAGCCACCGTGACCATCACTTCATCCACCTCCATCTCATCCATCGCTTCCACCTCGTCCTGTACGCCTGTTTGCACCTCCACCTCCGCCTCCCCACCTCTCCGCCGCTCCCCTCTTTGCGCCTCTTCGTTTCTCCGCCTTTCCGCCTGTTTGTCTCCGCCGCCCACCACCCTTCTGCTGGTGATCATGATCGTCGGAACGAAATCTTGTTTAAGATGGACCGTGGGATTTGCGCGGGTATCGCTGCTGACATACTGGTTGTGATAGAAAGACCGTCAACTATGTCACTTGCGACAGCTTTGACACGAATGAGAACAATCGCAGTCGTGAGAACAACGGAGCTCGTTGGTAAAGCGAGACCGAAGGTAAGGGTCAGCAATATGGGCAGTGGTAGCAGCGATGATAGCGACCATCAGAACAGCTTCGCAAGACAGGTGGATATGACGGAAAGGTCCAGCATTGTTCCCCCATCAGATGTTGTTTCTCATGACGAAAGTTATGAACACGATGCTGGCCATGATGAGGATGACGATGACGAAGGACAAGAGTGAGAATGATGATACTTATAACGATTATGGTGACGATGATGAGTGGTGATGCCGGTGACGTTGGTAGTCATGCGGAAGACGGTGATGGTGATGTCAATGCGGAGCACACGGTGCTTCGGTGATATCATGATGATTTCAGTGGTGATGGCTGTGATGATTTTCGACCATGGAGATGCTGTGGTAGCCGAGCCATGGACCGCGAAGACGAAGCGCACACCCGACGAAAACCCGATCTGATGGCTGAGCCCCCCTGGATGTTCAATCCGATAAACGGGCAGGTGCTGTGAAACTTTTCTGTCCGATGCAATACAATTGGAGGATGGAGAAGTTCTTCAGGAACCGAGGAATCGAAAGTCTGCTTCTAACCACAAGCCCTGCCCCAAGAACCTTCAAGTTTACAATTCTCACCACATGCATGCATGGCTGCAGGGAGCCCCGACAGGGGGATTACAAGTAGCCCCAAAAGATTTGCCTGGTGACCTGGTGCCGCTGTGCCTGCAGGCAAAGACTCAAAGAGCAAAGGAAGCAAGGGTGTGGGAGAAAAGCCAGAGCTTCAATCTCAGATCCAGCATCGTTTGAGTACATGTGCAGATGGTTGTGTCAGGGAGATCACCACCGTTACCTTGCACGATTAGACTTCGCGCATGTTGCGCCAGCGGGTTTTGTGCAAGCGAGTATCGACCACGACTCAATCGCGCGGGTTCAAGTTCAAGCACACGTGCGCGATACGAGCAACTGCGGTTGGAGCACGATCCGGATCCAAGCATTGGCGACTCACGCAAGAAAACCGATTCAAGGTTTATTTTTTTTTTCGGGTTTTAAGTTTGCGGATTTGGGACTCTGCATGGATTAAGCTTTGTCAGGGTCAAGGTTTTCAGGGTTGAAGGCCTTTGCGGTCGGGTTTACAGGTTAGATTTGTGCATGTTGTTTGTTTTGAGGGTTCAGGGTGTCAAGGTTTGGGGTTTTGAATTTGGGGTATAGGATTCTTTTGGGTTTAGGTTTCCGCTGCTAAGGTGTGCAGCTGCAATACGGTGCAGGGTTTTGGGCTTTAGAGTTTACGACTCAAGGGTTTTGGCTGTTTATGCTGTCAAGTATATAGGTTTAGGCTTTAGGGTTTGGTCGTGTCGTTAAGCCCAGGTTGTGGGCTGTAAAGCTCCAGGGTTTCTAGGATTTGGGGTGTTTGCGCGCTGTCACAGGTTCAGGAAGGGTGTGGGGGCACGAACTGGCCTGTACATGCGCGAATCCTGTGTCAATCAGCTTTGTCCGTGTATTAACCAGCGGTGTCCGGGCACTCGTGACTCTCAAGTCTTGACTTAGTCTTGTCGCCTGTGTGTTGCAGCAGTCGCAAGCCAGTTCTCGCGCCACGGCAAGGCTTGACGGCATATGGCATCGGGAGTCCCGCTGGTTGATCACATGCAGTCTTTGCGAACCTAGGAAGGCATCGTGTGAGCAGCGATCTGCTGAGTGGAAGGCCCGGCCCAAAGAATCTGTCATGCAATCAGCTCCTGTTCGGGCCAGCATGCCAGGGCTGGGCTGGCAAAGGCGCGGGGCCGCTAGGCCCCTGAGAGCATGAGGGCTTCATGTTTCCACGATGCAAGCACGAGGGTTGTGACGGTGCTCGACATGGCAGCGTGAAATGACAACAATTCAGGAGAGATTCTCCGTGTCACCGGCAGGACTGGTGGCCTCGATGGCTGCTGGACTCGGACATGGAATCGGCCGAGACCCCAGAAGCGCTTGCGTGTGCCCTTGGCCTGCACTATTTGGCCATGCAGGGGCGGCTGGTGGCTTTCCGCGGCACCCTCACCGGATTGCATCCTTGCGTTTGCTGAAGTTGGTGCGCAAACTAAGATTTCCTCCTCTTGGCAACGCTTGCGGATTTCCTTTTCCTGGCAATGACTTTTGCCGAATGGACGAGGGGCAGCAGGATGGATGCGAGAAGCCGGTCATGCCGTCATGCCCTCGAACGCGTCTGCCAGGATCTGCCTTGGATGGACCACGTGCCCTGGGGTAAGGGCAAAGGGAAGAAGGGCTGGAGAAAAGCCAAAGGATGGCACCAAGAGGAGCACAGGACCGAAGAACTCAGTGCCAGCACGGAGGACGAGTGCCGGGCTCGACATGGCGATCAGACGTGCTGTGTGTATGCATACAGGTTAGCAGATGCTCAGATGGAATTAGGTTCGAGAAAAAGCTCGCCACCTTGCGCGAGCTGCGGCTCGGAAGTGACGAGGTTGCTCTGCTTCAAGGAATCAAGTCTTAAATGCTTGCGGTGACAGCTTTTGGACATGGGAGGTACTCCGGGAAGTCCTGGTTGCTTGTGATGGAGACGTCACACGAGTTGTCAGAATACTTGTACATGACTCCTGACAGCCGTGTTCTTTGATCGCTAATGCACGCCTCGGCCATAACAGTATGGCGGGAGAAGAGTCTGGCACTGCCAAGAGCTGACAAAGAGTACGTACGGCCTTCCTAGAGAACTTTCAAAAATTGCAGGGCCTCTCAGCGCGGTAGTTGGCTGGTGCTGAGTACAGTGCACCGGCTCTCCCTTCCATTGGATGGCCTATTGGGATCCTCTGGAAGTTCAGTTGGGCTCAACTGGTGACACGGTCCTGCCTGGTTCTGTTCAAGACAGCAGGAGTGATGTGCAAACAAGCTCTGCACATCTGCTGCCGTCGACGGCAATGCGTTACGGCTTGGTGCGCTGCCACTGGATGCGCTGACAGACGTGTTGCTTGAACCCGAGTGCCATGCTTCAGCGTGGATTCATGTGCAGACTTGCCCCAATACAGTACTAGTCAGCGATCGATGCTCAAGGCATCGCAGTAGCCTCACCGCATCGTAGCTGCCTAGCTTTTGGGCCTTCAGCACCCACCGCACTAGATCTGGCAGTGCAGCTGCACTGAGTCGATCTCTCGACAGCTACCACAACGGCTGACAACGTCTCTGCGTGACGGTTCCATTCCAGCTCCATAGTCGCAGCCATGGATGGGACGGACAAAGACTTGGGATGGGAGGTGCCAGGGCCGATTCATGTGCATCACATGCGCAAGGTTTTGGTTGACGTAGCGGGCTCAAGTAGCATGCGACTCAGGAGCGAATGAAGTGTAGACCCTGAGCTCCACGTGCATGGCACCTGTCAGTATCTCGGGAGTTGCAGGATGTTGGCGCCCGTGGAGGGGCACCGGGCGGAAACATGGCCGGTCGCTCCGGCTTGCCTGGAAGGGCGGAGGAGCTGCAAACGATTTTGTGTCGCCACTCTGCCACTCCCAAAGCCCTCGAGAAGTGAAGGCGCCAAACATCTCTGATGCAGTCACCAGTGCCATGATGAACCAATTTGCACGGGAATTGACATCCAGTTCCGAGCTCAGCATGGTTCATCGCCAGTCAGACATAATACAAAGTGCACCAGTGCATGCTTTGAGGTTCGCTAAGTCTTTGGCCACAGTTCGTCCAGATAGCGCGGCGATACTTCAATGCTCGCCACCTGGACTCTGTGCAGTTCTAGATGTACGAGAGACATCGAACTACTTCGCTGCGGATATGGTCGAGGTGCATCATGGATATGTACTTCGAAAAATGCTCTGGCAGTTGATGCCGTTCCACAGGCCATTTGCTTCTGTGCTGGTTGATTACTGCGTTCTTCCGGTTGCTCACCAGCATTTTGTACATGACCATCGTCTGTCCATCTGCCTGCCTGTCTGCCTTTCACGTCTGTCTGCAAATGTGTCAGAGCGAGTCCGCGTGTGCATGAGGTTCAGCAGTATTCGGCATGATTCAGCATGAATTGAAAGGCTGAATAATGAGTCGGACCAATCTGGTGGCACCAGCATGTGCCCTGTAGTGCGTTTGATGCACCCAAACTCATCTTCCAAGTAGTTGGGAACTCGCAGTGCGATCTCTGATGTCGGCACTTTGTGCTCATTCAGTACGTAGGATCATTAGCCTGGACTTGTTCCCATGGCTTCGCCTTTGCCGCGTCCTGCGGCAGCGGGTGAGAGAGTAGGTGCCTCTTCAGACTTTGGCGATGCTTACGAGATTTTGCTACGTGCACTACCACATGGTTCTGATACGGATGCTTTTGCAGGCGGATCGACCTCGAACTTTGCATTCCCACTTCCGGTGTCCATGCCGCAGCCGTCGCGACTTTCCGCAGCATATCCCTTTCACAGGGACGCTTGCAATGCCTTCGTGCGAACCGCACTCCCGGCAACATTACCGTGCCACAATCCCACAGCTGCCGTTCCCTTCGGCTCATGCGCACCGCAACCTATCCACGTCATGCGCGTGACACCAGCTCCAAACCGGCAAGTGGTTGGTGTGTCGCAGAGAGTGACGTCAACTCGAAGGCACCACCGTCTGCAGGTCTGTGTCCCGGCATTGTGATGCTTTCGTTGCTGCTCATGCAGAGAGAAAGAACGTTATCATGGAATGAGATGTGCAGGTGGCAACCTGGCGGAGTGTCCATGGCACAGTTCATTCCAGCGCTTGAGGCTGACTGCCGGAAGTGCTTTTGAACTGTGAGCTGCTCTTCATCGTCTTAGCTTCGGCTAGGAATCTCGCCGGCGGCCGAGCGAGCGTGATCAGGCTTTGCGATGCCTTGTGGGGTTCGCGGGTTAGAGCCCCTGCTAACCTTGCACACTTCGTTCATGCCAGCTTTTTTTTGGTTTCTTTGTGCTGTGGTTGGCTTTCAGGCTTATGCAGCCTTCTTAGATGCCATCTTGTCGTTGGGCCTTCTTCAGGACACCGTGCCGTAGGCATGTGCCTGAGAACCATCACCAGCGTACGAACGCGTTGCCAGGACATCCCGGTCGTGGAGGGCAGCCGAAGTCATCCTCTGGTCAGGCCGCAGCATTGCCTGGCACGGATTTTTTGGGCAACCTTGTTGTCGCGCTTCGCAAATCCTGCACAGCTTTTAGCCGTCAGGGTTGCCCTCCCGTTCTGTGGCGCCTTGTCCGAGGTGGATCATTGTTGTCAAAGATGTTTTGCAGCCTGTGCTTGAACCAGGCACCTCGACTGCTGCCATTTTTGGCGACACACGTGAATCAGCAGGGGTCTCGATGTGCTCAAACCAGCTTCGTCGGCCTGGCGGTTCAGAGCAGGACGCCGTGTGCTCTGGAGATGCATGGCTGCGACATAGATGACAGGCGGAAGCGAAACTTCGTGTTGCGACTTGACTCTACATTGTACAGTCTCTTCGCATGGTGCTCCGTTGCAGTCCCTCTGCCTACTGGTGGCCAGCTTGGGAGGAGCTCAACTTTTTTCAACACTGATATGCAGCATTATGCAGCATCTGTGTATTGTTCTCCTTGATTTTGCCGAGTACTCACTTCAGGAGTGGACAGCCACAGTTCACGGTGATCGATGTAGTTTGAGCTTCCAGAAGAAGGCATGGTTGTGTGCTTGCAGCTGGTTTGGGCGACTTCTGCTGCTTCAAGGACTTGGCAACCGAAAGGCTGCCGGTCGCTCATTTTGGACTGGTCTTAGGCGGCCTGCTGCATTGGCGGTTGTAGAGGCCATATGACTTGGGTTCAAGCAGGCTGCGTCCGTGCAGGCATACATCCCCTGGTGATGGGTGTCGGCTGCGAAGCATCGTGGCGGCGGATCATGGAGAACGTGCCACGGCACAGAGCGTTGCCTGTAGAACTTCCGAAACTACAGATTGGTGTCGATATACGCATCTCAGATCTGCGCTCTGTTCAGGTGCTCAAGAGGCATCTTGGAACTGCAGTGTGCAATTGGATACATCCTTGTAGATCTGCTGAAGAAAGCACCCAGCTGACCACACTGTTGCTTCCAGTTGCCAACCTGGGGGCAAATGCATCTTTGCCACCTTCTACTCCTTCGAGGTCCCAGCATCAAGCTTTGCATGTGCTCGTCATGGTCTGAGGATGTCTGAAGGGTTTCCGACCTCCTTCGTTCTTCAGGCGACTTCGGTGCAGAGACATTGCAAGGAGAAGCTGCCACGCCTTTACCCTGAACATGAAGCCGTAGTGCCAGGACCACGGGTTCTCAGCAGAGATTCGCGAGAATCCACACTATGCCAGGAACTGAGAGCTCGGATGGAGCAACCATGTTCTTCTTTGTGTTTTTGCATGTTTGCACAGTTTAGGCGATGACCAGGTCGGATCAGGTGCTCGGCCGACATGCCAACATGTGACACCATGCTTTCTTGTGATGTCTCTTAGTAACCTACCTTGTTGCTTCATTCAATCATCTCCCTTGCCGGCACCCCTGTCATGCTGTTCAGTAGAGTCTGGGTAGTGCCGTAGGATATCCTGATTATCCTGAGATCTGGGCTCAAACCTGCGCGAGCTGATGCAGTCGCCTCTTCTCAAGACGTCCCAGTTTTTCCGGCTGCGCAGAGTTGCCACGTGCGGCAGGCCGGAACACATCTGAGATTTCTGGTCTTCGTCCACTGCTAAATTGATTGAAAAAGCTGCAGGATTTTTGCCTTTGTACATGCTCTGAGACCGACGGACGCACCAGAAGATTTGCACGCACTGCTTTTGGCTTCCTAGGCTCATGAGGAATGACGATCCCCACTTCAACACTTGCACAGGTAGCAAAGCCTAAGTGAAATCGCCGTAGATGCCGAGCCGTTGAAGCCATGGCGAGTGAGCTCGGCGAGGATGGGCCGAAGTGTTTTTCGTGGTCGGAAGGAGGGGTCTCCCGGCTTAAAAGGCCGACCTGGCCTTTCTCCAGACTGCGGCGAGCGGGCTCAGACGGCTCGCTTAGGGACCCCTCGGGCCCAAGTGGGCCCTAGGGCACTGACTCCTCCAAGGAAGCAGAGCTGACCGCGGTCTCAGATCGGATGCTGGTTCTTGCATGTGCCTCGCCGGGTCCTCCTGCAAGCAGCAACTCTAAAGACCCCACAGCCATCTAGGTACGCTGATCTGGCTCTTGAGCGACTACCTAGTGTGAGACCCAGCGCTGGACATGGTATGTGACAATGCTTTTCACATCTCTTCGCAAAAGACAGGTTCAGCGGTTGTGTCCGTTCCCTCCGGCCTGATTCCGAGAACGTAGCGCCTGTGGTGATTCGCGAGAGTTGCCGATTGAGGCGCCGGAGGCAGACAAACTTTACCTTCGAGACGAGCTGCATGAGGCGAGTCTGGCCGCAGGCTCAGAGCCTTCCTAGTCGCACTAGTGCCTCTAGCAGTGCCTCTAGCAGTGCCTCTAGCAGTGCCATAGCATCCCTTGTCAAACGCGAGTTTCTCTGCGTGGCATTCTCGCTTGCGGCTGCTGGAACTCGCGGAGCGGCCATGCCTGGGCCCCCCCCGGGTTTGCCGACGACACGCCTGTCTGCCCAAAAGAAAGCGGCGCCCCCTCAGGCCTTTGCTTTGGCTGTCGAGTCTTCTCACCGTGGGTTGGCCACTTTCCTGCAGTGGAGAGGAGGGTCTGCCGGTATTCAGCGAAAGCACGCCAAGCCCAAGGCTTTGCGAGAAGCATCTGGAGCATTCGACCTGCATTACGCAGGCTGGCCTGCGGTTTACAAGTTCATGAGTTCAAGCCCCACCTGTCTGAACACTCCTGTCAGAAGTGTGTAAGTCCGCTGTTTGGACAGGTCGGCCGGCCCTTGATTGCTTGTGCCGCTTCGCCGAAGGTCTAAAGCGTGCAGGGTATGGCTGTCCACTGCATTTTCTCTGAGGTTCGAGGCGTGTTAGTGACTTTGCTCCTCTGGGCACTGTACCTTGCATGTCATCTCCTCGGCTGCGAGAGCTGGTCCATGGCCGCAGTGCTGCACCTGATTGATATTCTGTTCTGCCTAGGTCGATGTTGCGGCTGTTGCGGTTCAGGTGGGCCATCAAGCGGTTGCCTGCATGTGCTATGTCGAGTCGTACGGCTCTCTTCCCCACAGGCATCTCGTCGGCATCGTCGCAGGCCAGTCTTGGAATTCCGGCAAAGAAGCGTGATCGGGTGCTGTGCTTACCAGCGATCCAAACCAAATCGGGAACTTAGCCAGCACTGCTACCAACAGACTGTGCCGGCTTTGCATCAGCTGATTTCCTGTTGTGTGGTTGGTCCTGTTCTCTTTGTCCTTTTGGACCTGCAGGCACCGTCGGCAAAGCAAGGCAAGAACCTTTTCCATTCGCGCCTGAAGAAGATGTCTTTCGGTGGAAAGGTATGGAGAAGCCGTTGCTCTGAGTCTGACCAATTCCGTAGCCCTCGCCTGGCGTTCCTTCTGACAGTGGCGAGAGTATTAAACAAGACCATAAGTATACGTGTTCTTGCAGCTTCGTTTGCGGAACGCTATGGTTGAAGGGGGCGTTAATGAGTTAATGCCTGATGCTTGCTTGGTTTCTTTAGGGCGAGTGTCAGTGGAAAAAGTTGGTCCACTGTTGCCATGGTGTCACCTGCGCAGCCTTTGGTCTTTTGGTGCATTTGCCTCTCTGTTGCAGTACAAAGAAGAAGTCCACAGATGGCGAACTGGGAGATCACAAGGAGTGTATCCCAGTGGATTGCCGCAGCAACGGTTCTGTCACGCTCTGAGCACGAGGACTGGACAGTTCGTATCATCGATGGCCTTGAGGTTGATATCGAGGAGCACTCGTGCAGCAGTTTATCCGTTGAGAAAGCCCTGCTAAATATCGGTCGAAGGAACCGTGGTCCAGACGTGGTTTTGTTGGCCTTGGGACATCAATCGCGTAAGCTGCAACTGGAACAGCTGCCCACGAACCCGCACGCTTGAAGAGCGACGGGCTGTGAGAGACAGCTTGACAGGAGCCTGACCTGTACATTCCGACTATGGGCTTCGTCACTTACGTGACCCCAGTCACAGAATGAGAGTCACCTAGAGAGGCATCAGCAGCTGAGTCTTCTTTCAGGTGGTGCTTTGCGGCGTGGTGCGGGGCATCCAGGCAACTCAGCCAGTCACAATGTATCCCTAGAGAGAAAACGAGCGATCTGAAGGAGACGTTTGCTCCGGAAGTGCTCTCTGCAACTATCAGCTCGGCCTTGGCAGATGTCTCAGGGCTCTTGAGCGTGTACGGTACAATGGCGCAAGTTGCATCAAGTTGCACAAGGTTATTCTTGTCGTTGAGATGGCCTTGATGAAAGGGGCCCTCTTCATGGCAGGAGCTGTGGCGTGTCCGCACTAACTACTAGTTACGAGTCCTCAGGCTCCCATTCTGTGAGGTCAACACACCTACACTGGACCTCTTGGCGCTGCTTGGGCCGAACCGTCCTGTTTAGGGTTAGTTGCACACAGCTCTGTACGCAATGATGAGTTGTGCACACCGTGTTGGTGCCAATGTGCATGTGCGAGGTACAAGTTTTTCTACCTCTCTCTGCATCTCGGTGTCGGCCTCCTCTGTGGACACGGCCGCAAACCGGCAGGTCCTGCTTCGTTGGGCGAGTTGGGTTCAAGTGTCGATTGTCTTTCTGCGAGGCTTTTTTTATGGCTTGCTGATCTGTGGCCTGCACATTAGCTGCGCCATCGCACTTTGGCAGGCTCACTGGGCAGAGTAGACGTGTCCCCCGCAGCTCGGTAACTTTTGCTTTTGCACTGAGTCTGTCAAGAGGCTTTAAGGCGTTTGGCTCGATTGCCGTGGCCTCACCGGAACAAAATCTTCGTTTGAGGGAGGTATCAAGTTTGCTCCATGCAGGCAGCCATCCCACGGTCAGGAATGTGTCACAGACATGCACCAGCAGTGCATCAAGGCGTTGGCAGATTGAAATAAGCTCCAGCAGCAGTCAGAAGCGGTGTCGATTTCGCACTCAGGTGCTACTGATCGTGCAATACGCTGTGTGTCCAGCCGGCTTGCATTGAGACCTTTGTACGACATGCCTCACATTCCAGCACGCATTGTCACAGGCTGGCTGCTGCTCCCATCTTGGCCGAAGGTGGCAATTGCCAATGCTCCTGAGGAGGCAGCGGCGACTGCTGTGTTACCCACGGCGACGGTGTACCATGTCCTTATCAATCCCCAGCACCTTCTGCCGAAGGTCACCATCGCCATCACAACTGCCGCGTCAGTGCTGAGCGGAAACTCGAGTGCCGTCTGATGCTTGAGCGAGTTGACAAACAGGTAGACATGCCAGCAGAAGAGCTCAATAGTAACAGTCTTGTGTGTTGATGCTTTTCTTAAGTAGCACAGCTCTTTCTGAGCGGAGGGCTGTGACGCTTCTTTTGCGTGCTTCAGCACACCGACATGTCTGCGTTTCCGTGTGATGTGCTGTGATCGTAGTTTTGCGGCGCGGACAACGCCACGCCGTTAGTCGGTAAAGGTGATCTGGGCTGCCCCAGCCTGCACGAAGCAAACTGCCCGTCCCCCTGCACAACCCGGTCTTGCGTGTTTTGTTGCTTCAGATGGCATTCCCAAACAGGGTCCTCTGCAGAAGTTGGGCCATTGATACCGCTGTCGGGTAGCGGTCGTGGAATTCTTTCTTCTTCACCACGGCATGACCTTGCTCGAAAGGGTCGCGTAAGAAACGGCGCCTGCGCTCCCCTTGAGTCGCCTCGATCCTTTTTTCAGCGAGGGAATCGCCTTCCCTGCTGAACCTGGCCGTGTCATCTTTGAAGGTGTTCGGCCCGATCTCACTTGATCGCTTGTTGTTATCTTGCAGATAGATCTCTACCGAGACTCTGCAGCGTTGTCTAGTGGCGTCGCTAGATCGATGCATTCTGATTATGATAGTCATTGCGCCGCTACGGTGTGCTCGCTTGCACCCTCCGGTCCTGGTGCATGGTGGCCTGTGTGCCACATCTTCCCTGTGTTGGCTGGGAAATTGATGCAAGTAGATAAACTGGCACATGTTTGCCAAGGTTTCAAGAAGGCAGGCATTGAAAAGCATCAGTGTTTTGTGGTGACATCACCACTGCCGTTCGCGTTGCTTGTGCATTGGCAAGTTTCGAAAGCAATTCAATGTTCACGTCTTGCTGGGGGCACGTCATAAGCAGTCAGTTCGAAGTCGCTCTTGTCAGTGCAGACTTTGTCCGCCACTTTTCAACAGTTACGGACAGCAGTCCAATAAGTTGTCGGGGGGATGAGCTTGCCAAAGCTGCAAGATTCTATTGCATCGCTAGATCGAGCAGTAGTGGCATGTCTTAGAAACCGGAAGAAGATGGACAGTTCAAGCAACAGATGGACTTGAAAGCACCTGAAAGGCATGTTGGATGCATTGCAACATTTCCATGCCTGTTTTTTGTGGCGTGGTGCCGTGTTGCCGTATCCATTGTCTCCTTTGAGCCTTCATTCAGCGATATGACGCCCGCGCGTGCTCGCACGACATGTCCCAGCATTCCCTTCGTCGCTATTACGGGTCAAGGCGCCATGGAAAGAGTAGGTGGATGGAGGCAACATGTGGCAGGTGATGTTGGCCGTTGCAGTCCCTTGAAGCCATTTCATATCAGTATCACAGCAAGGATTCAGTGCAACTCAGTGCAACCATGGAGCAGCGACTGCTAGTGGTCTAGGCTTCCCAATTTCTTGTGTGTAGTGATATGGGTTTCGCCGGAGCCACACTGACACTGCGGAGAGCGTGACCATGAGGCTTTTCCTGCCTGTTGGTTGGCTTGGCATGTCTGTAGCGTGTCAACTCAACGTATGTGTATATATATATATGCATGCAGGCGAATTCTGGGATTCATCGGTGGCAAAGCTTCTGCCGGTGATGTTCTGGAGGACTGCATGACGGCATAGCGAGGTCAGCACTGTGTGCCCCATTCTGGGGCCGCTGCGCATTGTTCACAGAACGCAATTGCAGGAGTTATCCTCCGAACTTCTAGGCTGGACGAAGCATTGCGTGGTGCATGGTAGCGGTTGCGGCAATGGTCCCAAGGTCCTGGAGTTTCCTCAGAAGTGTGGGAACGATTGCTAAATCTGAACAATTTGGAGGCCAACTTCTGCTGGCTGCGTTGCCTTTACTTAGGTTTTTATTCTTCGGTATCTGGCCAGGAAGAGTTGGAAAACCATCCCAGGCGGGTTTGACACGGATTTCCCACGAGTCACTGTGACTGTGGGCGATCGCAAGCCCCAGTCTTGTGCATCAGGAGAGAATCACTGGTGGTTTGTTTAGCTCGGTGCTGCGCCCCGAGAGTCTTTTGGTGGTTAGGGTGGTAGACTGTTCCAGCGGGCTTTTCGACGCCAAATTTCACAAGGTCCGGACAATTTTCATGCGTTGATCGTACGCTGCCTTGAGACGGTCGAGACTGAATTGGCCAAGAAGGCTTGATGGTGCTCTCTCGGCTTGCTCGTGGTTAGTCAACTGCTTTGAGGGTCTGTGTTTTTGCAGGCTGACGACCTGGATGAAGCGGCCGAGACGGTCCTTGCTAATGCACTTTTTGTACCGACCCCACTTTCTGTCATTCTTGGGGATCGAAAGAATCAAGCTTCGAGCTGGCGTCAGGTCATGTCATACTTACTAGCTGCGCTACCAGCTGCGGCTGCAGGCGCTGTGGCTGTCTTTCCGTTAGCGTGCAGCGTTGGCAGCACGCGACGACGCCCCAAACCTGAAGAGGGGTTGGCGCGGATGCCGAGGTCCGCTACTTTCTAGTGTGGAGGGAGAACTGTTAAGAACCCTGCTGTGCCATGTCAAGGCTCGGGAAACAGCCGGTGCTGCCTTCATGGAGAAGTTGTGGACGGTGCCTTCTTGAAGATTGCAGACTGCAGACTGCCCCCGATTGACTTCGAAGGTCTCTGGAGCTGAGACCAAGCCCCTGGGAGAACGCATCGCAGACTCTGCGCTGCGGGCGTTGTTCCATGATGGCTTCACCATCGAAGAGCCAGATGCGACCGAGGAAGGGCGTAAAGACTGCAGAGGTCGCACTCAGAAGTTGTCTAGAAGACTCTGCGAGGATGACGAGGTCCAGGAGGTCGATGGCGTGATGCCGGCTTTGATCTGGTACGCCCGCATGCTTGCTTCCGGAAGCCGATCAACAGCGTCATGGCTGCCTCAGGCAAGAAGGAGTGGGCCCAGAAGGCTCAAGCCAGCCAAAGAATGGCGACATGCAGGCAAACAGGCTAGGCAATTCACGCCCACAGTCTTCTCGAGAGATGCTGAGTTGTACCGAGCAAGCATCGGCACGTCAGGGTCGTGGGCCTGCAACTTCTACTAGCCCTCCTTGCAGCCGGAGCTCCATCTGCCATCGTCACCCAGGCTTCACAGCTTTTGACGCTTGCACTCTGATAGGTCTGTGCGCATGCCATCGCATGCCTTTGTCAGGAGAGCAGTGATGATGCATCTGTTGATGCACGGCTTTCCAGGCCGCAGATTTGACAAATTGATCTCTTTGTGTTGTCGGACAAGCACCAAATGAAGGCTTCTGATTCCCGATGCACGTCCACTCGCTTACCTCAGTGACCCCTCCAGGAGCACTTTTGCACCAAGTCAAACGAATGGACACGCAACCATATGCTGTTCAGGACAATACCCTTTCGGGCAGAACTTTTTTACTCATTGCTGTCTGTGGCTATGGGTGCTTTGCTCAGCATACTCTAAGATGGCGAAGGAGCTTTTGAAGCCATTGTTCGTGTTCAGTTTTCTGCAAGTCCTGCGGAGCGGATGGTGTGGCGACATGCCTTCTGAGGCTACGACCCGCACGGATTTGGACTTCCTTACGGGGGCTACTTTGCAGGGGCGAAGCAAGAAGCTTTTGCACACCTCTGCATTCAGGCTGGCAGCCTGCCGGCAGCCAATGTGAACTGCCACGGGAGTTGAGTTGCGGAGGCTCTTGGGCTGCTGTTGCAAGATGTGCGCGACGCTGCCCTTGGCAAAGGCAGGTCTCTGAGCGTTGGCTTTTCGGAAGCCTTCTTCTTGCTCTTCCGCTTTGGGGTGTTGGCAGGTGACATGAGCATCTTGCTAAGTGTGGCCACCAAGCGACCACAGGACGGGGTCTGCATCTCCATGCTTTGGAGAAGAGGAGCCCCCTTTTGGTTGAGATTTGAAGAAGGAGCTTCTAATTTCTCGGAAGTCGATCCCGGAAGAAGAAGGACGGGGAAGGCAAGCCACAGCTCCGAGAGCAGGTTTTCCTTCTGCCTCAGGTGCCCCTGTGCAGAACGTCTTTCGAGACATGCTCGCGGCACGCAGTTCTCAGGCCGAGGCAGGCCTGCCGGCATCTGCCGGCCTTCTGCCCTCTGCGGCTCTGGGTTTCCACGAGGTGGAGTTCATGGTGGAAGGCATCGTGACCTTGTTGGGCACTGTGAGCAAGGCCTTTGATCCCCGGATCAAGTCAACAACCTGGCGTGAGATCCGCTATTCTGCCATTCCAGGAGAAGGGCAGCTACCTGCCGAGCTCGATGAGGTGCGACCGCGTGAAAGTTGTTAAGCTGTGAGACCTTTAATATCAATCCGCCGTGCCATCTGTGCACGTCTGTGTGCCCGTTCGTGTGATGAGCTAAGGTTGCCACCTTTCTTGCCTGAACTCCTCGTTCTCGCCGCTTAGCGCCACTTGCGTCGTGGTTGGTGCGTATTGCTGGCCTGGGTGCGAGTCAGGTCTTTCACCTCACAGCCTGCCCAAAGTTCGTGGCAGGTGCGTGTGCACCGCCCTTAGGCGGCCCTGGGATAAGGGGAGGTACAGGGTGGTTTTGTCTTGCCTCCAACATGTGTACTGTCTGTTTGCGGACAGTGAAGGATACCCACACATGCGCACAGTGTTATTGGAATGTCGGCAAATGAACACCTGCGCCATAACACACAGTCATAGAACCAGAGTAGACGAAGCAGTTACAACACATTACAGAAACCAAGCAGGTACAAATAGGTTCTCAGCTCCGCAAGGACAGCTTAAGCAAATTCGTCAGCGTGCAACTCTTGGGAGTCCTTTGCACACCTTCAGGTAAAGAAGCTCTGTTTTTGTTTGGTTTCAACCATTTCGGCCTACAGGCTTCGCGAGAGCTGGAATAGCATAGTTCAGCGGTTTCTATCGCAAAGGTGCTGTAGCCCACCGTCCCAACCCCCAGTCTTGGGCCCTGGGACTGCGCATCAGCGAACATGTCTTGCGACAAGGTGATGTCAAGGCTTTTTCCAATTTGGATCCCAGCCCACGCGGTCTGAGGCCAAGCCACGCCCAGACGCCTACGCCCATTCCTTGTGCCAACAGCTTCCCGCCCCAGAGGCGCCCAGAGACCCCTAGGCCTCAGAGGCAGGCGGAGTCCGACGGGTGCTACGGCTGCTACTGGAGTTTGGGGTTTGGGATGGGCGGGATCTTGGAGATCTGGATCAGCAGACGGCACAACAAAAATCGCTGGAAGAACAGCAAGAAATGTTGAAACGCTTTCGTGCGTCAGGCAACTCTCCGCTTTCGTACGTACCATGATGTACCTGTACTGGTACCACTTTCCGTCTGTGTTACCAAACATGAACCAATGCCGGTGCCATCTCCGTCCATAGTCATGCAAACATTCATTGAGTTGCATGTCAATGCGACGGATGACGAGATCCGACATTCCACTCCTCGGCTCTTGGACCGTTGACATTGCAGTTCGACATGGATCAATGCAAGGATTGCGTGCTGCCTTTCGTAGGGACGTCTGATCAAGTTTCTGTAGGCACGCATGCGGACTCATTCGAGTACATGCACCTACCCATGCTTGAGCAGCCGGCACACTGGCTTAAATGCAGCAGCTTGCCAAGGCGGAGGGTGAGGTCATCAGCCTCATCGAGGGTGTCCTGTTGGCAGCCAACCAGGCCCGGAAAGCAGATGTCTCATCGGCTGTGTTGTTATAAATCTTGGATTTGCTTTTTGTCATGCTCGCACTGTAGCGGCCCGATACTACACTTGCGATGAAGTTGACTCCCGGGCAATCACGCCTGCTCTAGTTTTTTTTTGGGTGCTGTCAGCATGATCTTATACCCTGCTTCATGCGGACGTGGAAAGACCCTTGTATTTGCGATGAACAACATGATATTTATACCTTTTGTGGTTTGTTGGCTATTCATAATGTTGTCTATGGCATATCAGGCCAGCGCAAGTTGTTAATCGGTCAGGGCATCCACTGCAAGTCCTTTTCGATGCCAGAAGGATGGTAATCATCACATGGTCTCCAACCAGCGAAACACTGGTTGTCGAGATTCAACATAATCAGGTCAGTGATGTGGTCCCAAGTCTCTCAGTGCAAGTGTGCATATTGCCTCTCTCCATTTTCCCATGTTTCCATCACTTCCATTCGTTTGCGTCCCTGCTTGCTTCCCTTTTTACTTAGTCTTCTTGACTGCCTCTCGTGAGCCTTGTCTCCCTTCCCCTACTGTCTTTGTTTTGCCTCGTGTCTCGGTTCTCGAGCCTGATAGGCCTTGCCTCTCCCAGCCAAGTCGCACATGTCGATTGACTTTAGATTGATTTTTCCTAGCTCCATGCATGAATCCCAGATTACTCTCCTTGTCTGCCATTTGTCACCCTTGCTGAATTCGACATACCGTGCGTGCGGGGGAAACCGTGCATGTTTCATGTCTCCCGCCATCCTTCGCGCTTCTTCCGTCCTTTGTCTCGGTTCTTGGTGTCCTTGACTTGGCTGTTGTCTTCCCTCATAGTCCCTCTGCCTTTCCGCCTGTCTCCTCTGTCCTTCAGTTTTCCTTTTCGTCTTTGTCTGCTCAAGGTCTTCTTTTTTATGTTCCGCTGTCGTCCGGTCTGTTGTCTTACTGATCGCCTTCCCAAGCTGTGGAGCAGATGTGACATGTGCGCTTTCTACAAGTTGTACATTTTGGAGTTGTCTCTCCTGGCACTGGTATTTTGTTGTCCCATGTCAATCTGGTTGTCGCTCTGTGCAGACTTTTTTCCCTCGTCCCACTAGACGGCACCCTTCCCTGTTGCATCCTTCATAATTTCCGAATCTTCCCTCTTGTCTTTTCTTGGCCGTCTGGCGCAGCAGGCCAGCGGAGCTGGTTGCCCGCCTTTTTTTGGAATGGCACTCCTTGTCTCGCATCTCGTCTCCCATTGAAGAACATGTGGTCCTCAATGCTAAGGTCACTTAAAATCGAGCCTGTCCTGCTCTGACTCATTCCGCGTCCAAGACAAGGACAGGAAGAAACCAGTGCACATCCCAAAGCTCCTCAATCAGAGCCTGAGCCTGAAACCCTAAACCCCTAAGGCCCTCAGCCCTGAAGCCCAAACCCTGAAACCCCAAATATCTTAGCCTGCAGTTTGTGTCACTTGTTGGCTGTCCTCAGTGACACTTGACCATAGGCTCTAGTCTTCCTGTACAAGCTCCTTGACTCTCGGTGGGAAGCTGGCTTTGTCTTCCTTGAGACCTCCTTGTCTCCCTTGTTTTCTCTGCCTTGTCCTCACGTCAGCAGTCTTGCGAAGTTGGGAACGTCACAGGACTGCGTTTTACTGTCTTGTTTTCTCGCGCTGTTCTGTCTCCGTTGTCGCATCCTCGACTGCTTTTTGAAGCTCTGGTTTTTGACAAAAGGCCCAGTTGCAGAATTCTGTTCTCTCTGTCTCCACTTGGCATCCCTCCTCTGTCTCCCTTCCGTCGTCTTCGCGAGGTGGGCGTTTCGAATCATGGGGCCTCCTTCCTTGAGACTGACAAAGCGTTTCAGTCAAGTTTTCGATTTGTCTCGCCTGTTCTCTCTCTGGAGATGCGCTTTCAACACTAGCCTTCAGAGAAAAGGCAGAGTCCCTGCTGTTTGTAAATTTCTGGCTCTTCTTATTTGTTGTTTTATGTTGCTTTTGGTCATTGCCACCTTTGGCTCCGTGTGCCCTGTCAAGGCGCCCGAGCATGTCGACGAATCGGGCCTCAGCCTCATCGAGGCCTGCGAAGAAACACGATCACCACCCGCAAGTTGCGAGTTCTTGCCGCGACTTCTCGCTGGCCGAACTGGCGGTAGTAGCAGCAGTGGGAATCCAGTAGTAGCATACTTAGTTCGTCGTCGTGGTCGCAGTCGCGGTAGTGGTTGTGGTCGTGATGTGATCGCCCTCGTTGTCACTGCCGCCGCTGCTACGTGGTCACATTTACGAACAGAATTTATCGGCATAATTTCTCAGGGCGGGCAAGCAAGTTAGGTACGACAAGAAACGTTGCAGCAATTTCTTCACCCTCGATTGGGCGCGCAGAGAGCTGGCTATGTTTTTGTAGCGCATTGTCGTCTTGAGATCTTCGGGTTGGGGTACTCTGAGTTTGGTGAGGCTTTTGGAGCATTTCACGATGCAAGGTTTTAGAGTCTAGAGTTGTGTTAAGGATGGCTTCGGGCTCTTGGTAGGGATCAGGGTATGATCGCAGAGGCATAAGCAGTGTACACGAAAGGTTGAGAGCCGACAAACACGAGAAGTCTGCAGTGGGATGACTCCTGCAGGCCGCGATTCTCCTCAACCTGACCTCGTGCACCGTCTTGTGAAGGTCGTGGGACGGGCAAAGTGGGGGCCCGAAGGTACCGCGAAGTTTGCGTAGAGCTGGATGAGGACAGCATTGGATGCCCGAGAGAGTGACAAGCTGCCATGCACAAACAGGACGCAAGCTCTTGGCCTGTCTTCAGGACTTCGATGGCAGCTTGCCTGAGAGCATCCCTGATTTCGAGGCACACTAGGCGCGTTTGTTGAGCTCTTGTGCAGAACACCAGTCTCGCCAGGGGACTGCTGCCGACTTTGTGGCCTTGGCAGCGCTTGCTCAGGCCATTGACATACTTGTAGGCCGTGCTCGGCTTATGCTTAGCGGCTTATGTCACTGCGTGCTCAGGCCAACGAGAACCTCGGTAAGTGCAAGGCCAGTCGGAGCATCCAAAGTACTTCTCTTGTACCTGGGTCAACTTCAGGCGAGCAAAATTCATGACAACATCGTGCAGGCCGTCTTGTAACGGACGGGGAAGTTGGTTGTGGAAGAATTAAGCGTGCTTGATGCTGCCAGATGAGCTTGTTCACGTTGGCCAATGTGTCAACATTTGCGGACGGTCTCTGCATGGAAGTCACCTCGCGCCTGTCGACGACTTACCCACCTGGAAGTTTGGAAGCACGGGTCGTCTCGAGCCTGCGTGACTGGGCATGCTTTGTGCAGGTTTTCCTTGTTTGAGCGATGTGTGAAATCGCTCCAGCTGTCTCGAGAAAGGCGGGACCGTCCCCGAGAGCCTAGAGTCTCAAGAGTCTCGAGAGTGTCAGAGCTTGCTGAGGCTTGGCTTTGCCAGCCACTTGCCGATACTGCTGGAAGTGCCGCGCTCAGTGCCTTCTCTGCCATCTTTGCTCATGTACGACACTTTGGTGTCTCTGCTGTAGGCCTTCGATAATGCCCTCCAGTGACCCTCATGCAGTTCTCGATGGACCGTCCAAGCCCTTCGTGATCCATTGCCGCTGTTCAGAAGCAGTTGTTCAGGTACAGGTATGGTGGCAACACCAACCTAGCCTATGGCTTGATGACACGACAGGCTTGTAACCGGTCAAGGGCCCTGGGCCATATCCGATGCTCTGAGCTGAGAGGCCATCTTCCGAGATCTCGTGTCTTTAGCCGGGAACTCGTGCCGAGATAGGGGACATGATTCATGGTTTTGAGCCAGAGGTGCCGCAGGTCCAATGTCACATTGATCTTGACAAGGACAAGTCGGGGATTGTTTTAGTCAGACGTTTGCTTGAACACACAGTGTGTCAGGATGGCGAGAAGGAGAGACAACTCTGGCAGCAGCGGGTTGAGGCAAGTCTCGCCCTCGTGTCATGCCCTATCTTTAGCAAAGCTAGGGCAGAACGCGGCCGCTGCCAGATGCACCTGCATCCAATATCCATGCTCTTGGATGCAACGGTGCCGATGCTGGAAGCGGAGGCGCCGTGCCAGATGCATTTTGTCCGCGAAGAAAGTTGCGACTTGCTGGAGCCAGGTGGAGAAGCACGAAATATCAAACTCAGACGAAGCCAAGGAGCTTCTGCCTAGGCTCGGATTCAGTCCTCCTGCATCCCCCCTCAGAATACACGATGCAGCAGAGGTGCATTCTGGGGCTCATGCCACCACCGCATGCTTTCCAGATGAGGCCAGTTTCGGTGCTTTTCACGACAGACAGCCGAAGATTCTTCTACCCTTGAAGCCTTTACGCCTTTAAGCATGCTGGAGACCTCAGCTGCTGGGACTCGTCAGGCATTTGCAGCGCTGTGCCGCGACGCACTTGACCTGCGAGGCCATCGGCAGGGGTTTTGGTGGACGCGAGTCGATTAGGCCGTTCTGCTCGCTTTACTGCCAGCACCTGCTTGCGGCTTGCCTCGGCGATGGCCCGGTCTGCCCATTGTGGGAAGTCGAGGACGGCGGCGAAGTAAAGAGAGATACTGAGTAGACTGGCAGAATTCAGTTTTTCCAGCACGGGATTTGCAAGGAGGCCGAAGAGGCACAGCACCGGGGCGGAGCAGAGCAGTGAGTGCGACTCTTCGAGTCTTTGCGGAGAGGCCGAGGAGAGCCAAAGGGGCCGCTCGTCGAGTCAAGCGAAGCTCAGCCCTCGGAAGGGCTGCTTTCCTCCTTTGCGCCTCGGCGCTGTGCCCAGGCCGGAACGGCCTGCTCCGGAAGCCCGCAAAGCAAGAGAGCGAGATGCTGAGAGCCGGAATGCAAAGTGGTGTCTGTGACGAGTCGAAGAAAACCGTGCAGGAGAAGCAACAGCAGAACGAGGTCGGCGAGCAGCAACCGCTCCAAAGGTCCCCGCGCAAGGGGTTTGACAGGTCTCAGGTTCCAAGGGCGCAGATAGAGCGAGGTAAGGTTTCTTACAGCATCCATATGAATCTTCGTGTTTCAGGCTCAGGTGGCGCCAAAGCAGCTGCTTCAGAGCCATCTGCACTCCCAGAGGGTGCTGTCACTGGGACCCAGGATGCCGCAGGCCACGTGGGCTTTCGATTTATGCGATCGATGACTCCTGAGTCTTCCAGTCAGTGTCGCAACGCTATTTTGGATCAGGCATACTGACGAAGTCCCCTGAACGGGATCCTGGCGATTCTAGACTTGCTGATGGTGCCAGCGGGATGCACTTGTGCTCGTGTCTCGCAGAGGGAAACACTGGAGTTATGAGATCTGAATGGCGTGCAAGCGGGGGAGGTGCCACTCCGAATGGAAACGGCCAGGTGCCTGCTGCATCTGCAAGTAAGAAACAAATGAGAGATGCTAGTAACGTTTGTCAAGATACATCGTGGACATGACAGGCAGGTGTGCCGACTATGCCCACTGCACATCAGGCTCGTCACGCGGGGGATTTCTGGTCTGCACAGAAAGATTGAAGATCAATCTTGACAAGGAAAGCGATACTCCCAGTCCAAAGGCTGGCATGGACACTTTGGCTTCACAGCTGCAGGCAGCCTTGACTGTTTCTGTAGGCTAGCAGCTCAGCAACATGCAACGCACACAAATGAATTTTCGTGTGCCGTTCAGAGAGTCATAGTGATAGTGACTTCAAGCTCGACGGACAGGAGGCAGTCGCGTCCGGAGTGGACGTTGCGCAGTTGCTAGCGCAACTGCAAGCGGCAAAGGTGCAAGAAGCTGTAGGCGTGGATCCAGAGGTGTTGCTTGTGTCGGCATTCAGGCTGCCAGCGCTTGCGGACAGGTGCATCATCGTTCAAGCTGCGTTTGCATCAACTTGGGGCACCCGGTCCACTTTTGCAATTTGAGAGGCATGAACATTTGACTGCAGAACGTTGCTTAAGTTTGCTGGAACATGGAGCATCACGGGTCATAGAGTCATGCCCACAGATACACAGCATGCTAGGTTCTAAGTGTTCAGCTTGCCTTTGGCATGTTACTCGCTGTTGGGCACCAAGCTACTGACACACACGTGCGCGAAACCGTGAAGCAGCAGAACCACTCTTAGCAGAATGACATGCTGCACTGCAATGCTCTCAAAGGGAGTCGTCTGGTACAAGCACAGGCCCCACGTATGTCTACTCATGGAAGGTGAGAAAGTGGTTCGGATCCAGCACTCAGCACGTCTCAATACACGCCCGGACTTCTCCATTCTGTAGCATCCAAGCTCCGCTGTGGTAGCCCTGATGCGACAAGGCGAAGGCGGCTTGCATTCCACTGCATGTTTTGAACAAATTGTCTGATCGAACGGTAGATGGCAGCCTGCTATCGGCACTCGGGGGTGTGACTTGCTGCGCGCGCTCCGAGCCCATTAGGCCGAACATCATGGGGGCTAAAGCTGCGAAAGCAAAGTCAGTGCCGGGAGGCCTCTTGCCTAGAGTTTCTGAGTTTTCTGCAATCATTGCCTGAAGTGTAATTCCAGGTTCCTTAGCTGATCTGCCCTCGGAGGCCAGGCTTAGGGTGCCTGCGCTCGCACTTGCCTCTTTGCACTTTGCTTCCCTTTGCCTCTTTGCGCCTGGCCTGGCTCCGGAGGCCGCGAGTGTTTGGTGGCCCAGGATCCAGCAGAGCCCTTGCTCATTGCAAGCTGCACCACGTGCCCAGGTGCAAGCCGCACCGCCAATCCGAAGCCTGAGAGGTGATGGAAGTCTGAGAGGTGCCTTAGTTAATTGCATGTCCGTTCCGGACAGGTGCCGAGCAAAGGGAGTACACGCAGGAGCAGGAGGTCTTTGAGATTTCAATCGGAGTCCCCGTCTGGTCCGAAGTGCCCAAAAAAGCTGAAGCTGAGCTGAAGACCAGGCGGCCGCTGCCAAAATTGGAGCTGTTGCAAGAGGCAGCGCCACGCGATGGCAGGCACCAAACCAGGAATCTGAGAAAGCTTGTTGGAGCGGGCTCTCGATGGATTCTCCAGGTCAAGCAGGACTATCACGAAGCTAAACGATCCGTGGAGGCTGGCGGCTGTTCCGGCTAATTCCAGGTCTGGCGGAGCCCAGACGGAACAGGCCCGAAAGACCGACACCTTGGAATGTCCAGCGATGAAAGAAAACGTGGTTGCATCATGACATGTTCGGCAGACTTGACGTCTCGTCATGCACGGACAAGAAACATGAGAACAATCCATGCCCGAGGGAGAGAGTGCCAGAGAATCTGGCAGTCCCAAACCACGAGCAATCACTCACGACAACAGCGGCACAAACCCCGCATGCGGGCTGTGCATTCGCAGCGGGGGCACCTTTGTTTCCTCAGCTTCGTCGGACAGGGTGATCCTCTGGAGCCGCCGCTGCTTGGCTTCGCTGACTATGCTGCTGCCTAAGCAGTGCCTCCCTCTCCGAGCCAAGAGCCTCAGCCCCATGTAGAGCAGGCTCAGCGAAACTCTTCTATGCCCTCTGTGCCCGACTCCATCCGCTTCAAGGCCCGACAGACCCTGTGCAAGCAAGGGGGGAAAGCTTGCTCGAAGTAGAAAGTCGGTAGAGGCTACATAGTGGCCACAAGGCTCTCTTGTTGCACATCCCCAATTCGGCACTGCTTCAAGGTCCGTGATGCGACGAAACAGAACGTGTTGAAGCAGCTGGGGCACACCGAGGACGTCTTGAAGCTGTGCGGCCTGTTTGCATTCTCGGGATGGCTGCTTCAGTGCAAGCTGAAGGACGTGAGCCATTGGAACACCTTCGAAGCCTTGGCATCGAGGCTACTAGAGAAGGCGCTGTTCATGCGTTCTTGAGCATGTTATGGTGAGTGCGCATGCGATTGCTCCTTACTTATCCAGGTGTCCGGCTCCGGCGGTGAGAGCTTGCCGTTTCGGCCTCAGCTGCGAAATCCTTCAAAAGTTGTTTTTTTGGCCTCTAAGTCTGAGGCCAGGCCCGAAGAAGCAGATGCCTGCTGCTGAGAATCGCGGTTTTGCAACATGACTCGACATGACTGTGTTCCCGTGCTTGACTAGTGGACGCCATTTTGCTGTCATCGTCTGGCTACATGTTGCGGTGCCTGTTGGTTGGCTGTTGTTTTGTCTTGTCGCGCACATGTTTGCTACCGTAAGCAGAGATATATCCTCTACCAACCTCTGATGTTGCCTAGCGACACTAAGACCCTGCGACCTACACATAACACCAGCGGGACTGGAGCATGCACAGTTGAGAGATATAGGTGCGAGCATAAGAGCTAGCAAAGCTTTACCAAACAGGGAGGTCCGTGGGGGGCTGAGATCGCTGCCAAGAGGAACTTCATGGGACCACACACCCTGTGTTTGATCATGCGGCAGTGTGGACGACGCCGTTGCGGCGAGGCATTCTGCACTTCTGTCAGGGCTCTGCCCAGGGGCTCGGAATCGAGAAAGTGCTGTATGTCTCTTGTTTTGAGATCTTTGAATTTTCCGAACGCTTGCATGAAGGATATGGGATTGCGGATAGCTTGACGGTCGCTTCGGTGGGGTGCCCCTCAAGTCGGCAATCCCATCGCCATACACATACGGAAAGTCGGAACAAACACTGTTTTGGTTGGCGTAGGGCCAGCAGAACCCCATGTTCACGCTGGATTGTTAAACATTGCATGTCACAATCCAGTGAGATGAAGGAAAGGTTTTTATGATGGCTTCAGCAGCAAGCGATCCTCATCTGCTAGAGCTTCAAATCGATCAGCCAGATTGTCTTGAAAGGGAAACGGGAATAGTCGGTATAGTGAACGAACCTATCAAACTTGACTTCGCTCTTACGGTTTGGAACCTGGCTTTAGTCCAGAGGGCTCACTTCACATTCAGTCCAAGATTCTCGAATACAGGACGATTTACTTCGAACTTCGAACATCCCTAAAAGGAAGCAAGTGGTAGGATACTCTACAGCTAGCTGACGAGCAATCCGACTCTCTCCGCCGAGGCTGGGGACGAGGTCTTAAAATCTATTCGTGGGATAGTCTGTGCGATACTTGGGGGTGGACACTCCAGCGATGCTGTGCGTCATGATGATTCTACTGGCACGCCATCAATTAATTCTGAGATCTCTGCACCGTGTCTCTCAAGCAAGGTTGTTCCACCGAGAACACCAGTGCCAGATATGTGGAGTAACAACCATCGGTGCAATCAGTTACATTCAGAGTCACCAGTCGATCGATGAATCGAGTTCTCCGTGTCAGGACTCCATCAAGTCAAGAAGACACGTGCATGAAATGTGGAAGCAATCCCAGAATCAAAGCCGCAAACAAGGTTCCTCTGTGATGTAAGTTTTTGGCGTGCTCAAAGTGGTTCTCAATCCCCCTGCAGCCCCTTCTTCGGGAAAAGCTGTGCTACCAGAATGCATAAGTGGTTAGAAAGTAGCAGATTTTGGAAGGATGATCTTTCACCCGTTTGCTCTTTCGAGCCCTGAAGATTGGAAGCGACCCCCTCCATACATGCCGCAATGCCATAGAGATGCTCGCAGCAAGACCTCCTTTGCGTACTCCCACCCAAACTCTGAATGCCACGAACCTTGCCGATGGTGAGGCGGCACACGTTCAGTTCCACGCCCATCACCCCTCGATGAACATCCCGACTGCAGTCCTCGATACAATTTCTGCTACCTCTGCCGATGTCTTTTCGTTTCTGGACGGGCAGAAAGCTTTTATTCCTTGTTCTGCTTGCCTTGTCTTTTTGCAAACTGGTCTTGCTCTCCATACAGCATCCGTGAATTCAGTCCCTCATTTTTGACTGCAAATTGGGACAGGGATGGTCTCAAACACAGTGCTCACTGCTGATGTCCAACAGCTTTGCCCGCTCTTTCAGCAAAGTTTTATGAACGATGTTTCTAAGAATCGGTGGCCATCACAATGTACACTATATTGTACGCAGTCAAAAACTCAGGTCAATGGCCCATCTTTTCAATGATGAGGCCAGCAGTTTCGATGTCAGTGGATCGTGCGTGCATCTCGCTGAGAGTCTGTGTGGCCCAGCACAGTTTTTCAATCATGTTTGCATGTTTCGCCTTGTTTACAGTAATGCCAATGAAGGAAGTCCGAGCAGAACTCGAAACGAAAGCGGCCGAGGGTTTTGTGGCTCGTCGACAGGACAAGCATGAGCTGACATAGCAGCATGGGTAAACGTGATTGACTTCGGATGTTTCCAGTGCACCGTGCTAAGCAGTGAAGGACCACTACTTGCTGGGAAAGTACCAGATGGTGGCAGTGCCGGCAATGGCCGATTATGACTCGGCGTTCGGAGAGGTGCGACCGGGACCGCAGGCCGGGACATTGAGCAGCATTTAGGGGGTCAAACAAACTCATCCGATCAGGAAAGCCCGCAGGAAGCATCCCCACACCAAAGCTGGGACTGCGACGGCCCCGAGGCCATTTAGTCAAAAGTCAGATCATGCACAGGGACCTTGCTCTGTTGCTCCAGGGTTTCGACGGCCCGAGGCTGAGATGCAAGGATCTGGAATTTTGCATCTGTAGGTAGCTGGCAACACAGTCTCGAAAGGCTGGTTCTGGGTGCTGCATGCGGCTGCACCAAATATTGGCTGGGGCCTTGGGCTCTCAGAGGCCTCTCCGGGTAGCATCCCATCATCGCAGTCATTCGCAAGGTATGGGCGATGTAGTGGGATGCAGCACTTGCACTGACACATTTTTGAACAGGCGATTGGCTGTACAGAGTATCAATCTTTGCTGATTGGGGTGAGGGGGTACCTTGACTGCTCGCGGGTGTTCTGAATGGTTTCTGGCACCGTCATCTTCAGTGACTATGGCCGGTCTCAGAGATGGGTATGGACGATGTGCAGCTGGTCCAGTTTAGGGGACGAGCGTCGGGGCCTGGCAATCGCAAGATGTCGTTGAATGCCGGAAAGACAGAGCCAGCACCGACATGTTTGGGGGCCGAGGCAGAGGACTTTCTGGCGTATTCGGTGGAAGAGGAGGACCACCACTCACGGTGAGATCTTTTTTGTATCGCTTGAAGAGTGCAGCAAAGGACGTGGACGAATCGAGCCCTGCACGGACTCTTGCCACGAGTCTGTTTCTGTTCAGTCGGCATGCACATTGTCTCCTTCGTTCATCTTCGATGTGTCATCAATCCACCGTGACCCTTAAACACTACTTCAGCAGGACAGAGTCCGTGAGATCCACCGTTTCGACGGCCTCCAGGCAAGGCTGTTTGCACGGTGTCAGTGAGTGAATCCTTTGCTGAGAGGTGTTGCTGGAAGGATCGGCTTGTGCGACCAACACGGCGGTTGAACGAGGTGAGTTTCTGTAACGTAGGATTTCTGTCTTGTCTTTGTCTTTCATCCGCATAGCAACCCTTGAGGATCTCTACATCCAAGACCTACGTCACCTCTGGAGGAATGTGCTCACAGCTATGAGACACTTGCAGGCCACCTACCTGCCAGGCAGAAACTATCTAGGTGTGCTTGAGAAACCTTTTGTCGACTGTAACCTTTACACAGCAGCCTTTAAAGATTTCGGGCGGGGTTTAACGGGTTTTGGGGTTATACCAGCTGTTGCCTGGACGTGCCTGCTTAATTTTCAGGTTGAGGACGTTATCCTTTTCCCGTTCGGCATTGGGCCCAGACAGCTACTTTGCAAAGAAAATGTCGCGAAGAGGATGTAGACTGAGCTCAGGAATGGGTGCTTTCCTGCGACACCTGAACCTAAACGACGATCGGTACGAGGAGCTACGAGAGCCTTGTTGTGGATCGCAACGTTAAAGGTCCAAAACCATGCAGGATGCGAGCAGCATGCGAAGATTGAAACGGAGAATCGCCGCCGCAAGCTCATGCATCTTCAGTCACAACATGTGATACTCGTGCGAGTGTATTTCTTGTGTGCCCATTTCAGAGCTGCCGCTGAAATGCACCTGTACTTCCGGAAGTAGGCACAGTCCGTGTCAACTACTTAGACAACTGTAGTCAGGAATTTACCATTCATGTCTGCCCTGTTTGCCACGTGCCACGCTCGCGCAGCGCTTTGCCATGCTGTCTGTCGAGCAGAAGATTCAGATATGGAATCCTGCTGCGCATTGGACGAAGGGGCCGCAGCGCGACAGGATTGGACTGAGGCCACGCTGAAATGTGGTATCAGCTGCCACGTTCTGGCCCAAACGAAAGGAGCAGTTCACAATGCCAGACAAACCCAATGTAGTTTGGCGCAACGGATTTGTCTCGCCCCTCGATTCAGAACAGGAGGGCAGCTTCAGCTAGTCAAAGATGATGGCGACGAGCAGGAACACGTGAACGTCAAGACCGGAGCCGTTACCAGCGCCATCTTCGTCGTCGTCGTTGTTGTTGTTGTTGTTCATTGTTGTTCATGGTGAAGATCGTGCTGGGGCGAATGATGACGACGGGGATGGTAGTGATCGCGATCAGGCTACGATTGTTTTATGAGCACCTTATGTGTCTTCGAAGATGCGAGCTCCTCCGTGCTGTGCAATACCATCCTCGCGCTGCTCCGAGGATGAGCTTATGCATGCCATTGTCGACATATGCTCGCCAAAGCTTGCGCCTTGGGCTGCAGTTGCTTGTGGCATGGGCTCCTTTCCTCCCTGAAGAGGTCCAAGGCCGCTCCGAAGGCTCGGCTGGGGAGTGGACTGCGCCTGCGGATTTGTGTTTGGCCGCTGCGAGAGGCCTCAGCACCCTTCGAAACCAGAGTGCACCTCTGTCATGCCCCGATCAGCCTTTTTGATGAGAGCTTCCCTTCGATCTCGCAGCTCAGGTCTTGTCTGTGTCAACCCAGAGAGCGTAGACAACCACAACTGTTTCGTCGAGGCCGGGTGATCCCAGTGATGCGTCGGTCCACCGCTACCTGGGCCAGGCAGCAGCGGCTCGGGCAAAGGGCTGTTCCAGACTCAGCGGCCTTCGTGTTGTAAGCGTGAGCATGTGCTCTCGCTGCTATGAAGGCCCAGAGCTGAAAGAGATCCTCCAATTGAGGCGCAACGTCGATTCCTTGCAGCAGCAGACCCGGTCAGGCAGCTTTTTAGGAAGGACTTGGCAAGGGCAAGGGCGCTTGTCACCGAGGCTTGCCCACGAGCTGGCGAAGAAGTCAGGTTCTGGCAAGCTAAAGGCGCTCTGCTCGGTTCGTTCGCCGTGGCGAAGGTGCCAAGGGAAGGTTCTGCACAACATGTGACAAGGTCGCTCTGCTCAATGGTGCCAACCGGAAGCTTTGCGGAAACCATTGGTTTCAAAGCCGGACTCCTTCGACTCCTTCGACTTTCCTCGTGGCCTCGTGGCTCTTCCGCTTGAGGTGGGGCTCGCTACGCCATCGACGAGAACCTTCATCGTCGCTCTGTCAGCCCCCAAGGGTTCCACAGCGTTCTTGAGGGTTTGGGCCGGGTCCCGACTACGAGGCGTCGCTTTCCAGAGCCTCCTTGCTGGTCAACTTTGATACGGAGCCGAGGCACTCGCAAAGTCTCCAGCTCAGGGGTGAGGGAGTGTTGAACGAACGAGGCCTCGCCGGGCCACGCAACTTCAGGAGACCGTGAAGTGATTTGGCGGCACCTATAGGGCCCTAGGGCTAAGGAGTTGTGGAGGCTTCTCCGACTTGCTGCCCTGGATACTCGGGAGGTTTTTCAGTGGAACCGTGGTAGACTTGGCAAAGGCGAGGGGTGTTTCTGCCGCTGTCGCCTCCAAGAAGTCCTGCAAGCCCAACCAACGCAGAAGATGGAGCCCGACAAAGTCAGTGCTGTCCAGAATCAGGACCTGGAACTTGCAGTACTGCCAGCTTGTTCCCAAATATGCAGAGACTTGGCCTTTGCGAACAGGAGGTGAAGCCGAAGTCTGCTCCGCCCTCCAAGGCCCGGGCTAGGGCCCGGAGTCTTTGAGCTGATGCCTTGACTTTCGGAGGCTACGGTGAAGGCCAAGGCTCCGGACCGCAGGCCCTTTTGCCTCTGTGGCCGAGCCAAAGCACAGGATCGCCATGGGATCGCATGGGTTCAGGTTGCCCAAACGACACCCCGGTGCTGTGCTTGCGAGGAGCGAGCCGAGGAGCAGCCGGAGATGGTTACAGGTACAGTTTGATGCATTTTGGTACAAACGCATGACGTTTGGATTGGATGAGTCAATGGCGGGATGCCAATGCTTCCTGTCAACAAGATGTCACGCAATAGCCGTGAGACATCAGCGAAATTCGCTGACGCCATTGCATGTCAAAAGACATTGCCGTTGCTTGGGTTGTCGGGTGATGTGGCACAAAGTGCCGGTCACTTCAGGAGGACCGATCTTGCCCAGACGCTTTTAAAAACCAAACAGAGGTGCCTGACGAACGACGTCTATTGACATGCTTGAAGCTTTCAGTTCGTGAATGTATTGATACGTCGCAGGCGGACCAGACGGAGCAGTGAGCCATCCGGAAAGCTGAGTGGTTGAAGTCAATCGCCCACAAGCAGGTTATCAAGAGACTGCCAGTAAGCTATACAAGTTAGGACATTACAGATAGCATCTCAGCCACGTCAAGCGCAACAATGCTGCGAAGCTAGAGAAACCTGGACGACAACGCCGTCCAACCCTTGATTAAAAGGCCGACTGGAGCTGGGCCTCCTGCTGATCGTCGGCTATTACGGAAGCTACCTGCGGTCTTCATGCTGCATTTGCACTTATGGAGACTTGACAGCTTAATGAAATGGAATTGTGGCTCAAGCTTTGCTGTTTAGTTTCTCAGGATCAGTGGCAGAACCCTGCCAGGCATTCCAGCTGACATTGCCTCCTTGCAGTGCAACTTGACTATTGTCTGAGTCAAAGTCAGAGCAGGCGCTTCCTGAACCCTCATGGTCAGGACGCAGGCTACTGCCTTAGCACCAGTGACATCCAGTGACCACACGGATTACACACCTAACTTGACTGCCGGCGCTGAGGAATTTTCAGCGCCAGGAATTCTGGGACGAAGAAGGCCGGTCGATCAACAAAGATGCAGGCACAGATTGTCTCACATGTTGGCGAGGCATGTGCCTGGCCTGCTGGCAAAGGGCCGAGCTATGTCATCCCAGAGATGTTCACAAGCAGTGGGGATTCGCTTAAGGTGATGGGCGTGTTCGTCCTGATGGGTGTGGTCGTGGGCTGCGGTAGGCCCTCTGATTGATTCGCCTGCGATTGCCCTAATTAAGAATCCTAGGACTTAGAAGGCTTTCCGAATTCTGCTGACAAAACTTGCTATGCTTTTGCCTTGCCTCAGTGATTCAGTGATGGTTTGAAGGTGGCCATTCTCCTGGAGGCATGCAAGTAATCGAAGGGTCTTGTGTTGCAGGCATACGCTGGCTTGGACCGGCTGCCCACCGCGACAGGTCTTGAAGGCCGTGGCTCTCGTCGAATGTGCAATTGAAGCATTGGTCATTGCCGGAGACTACGCCTCGAAGAGCCTAGGGAACCTCCCGTTTCCAGGAATACTTATTTGTACGATTTCGATAAGACTCTGAGATGATTTCAGGAATCCTTCCGGTTACGATTGGTTTGCGCTTTGGATCCGATTTTGATACGATTGTGTTACGACTTCGATACGATTTCGATACGATTTTGACACGATTTCGATACATCTCCAGCCTCCTCCAGGACTGGTTTTGATGTGTTTGCCATGCTTTTGATATGCTTTGCGGACTTGCAGCCGAGCTGCTTTCCGAGACGTGCTTTCCCGCGTGGCCGTATTGAAATCGTAACCACAACCGTGTCAAAATCGTAAACAGGGAAAAACCCTGAACCAAAAGAACGCCATAAGATAATTTTAAAAATAATTCCCGGTGCCTATCCTGGCTTTCCCAATTCTGGAAGTCAGAAGCATACCTTAGAGAAAACAAACAAACAAGCAAACAAACTAGCAAACAAACAAACAAGCAAACAAACACACATACATACGTACGGACATACAAGACATGCATGTATGCATATGTCCTTGCATGCATACATCAAAGCATGGATGTGCAGAGATCAACGTAACTGTGGTATGTTGGCTTTGGGCTGCTCCGGCCCCAGCTCCGGGGTCCTGCTTGAGGTCGGTGAGGAGCAGACCGCCTCAAACCACAAATCGCCACACATCCAACTCCCAAAATCCGAACCTCCGACCCACTCAAGGAGGGGGGGAAACCCGCTCTTTCGGTCTGGTCAATGTTTCTCCTCACTGGCTTTTTAGACAGGGCGACCGGATCACAGGATCACAGAGCGGAAGGACGGCAGATTTGCAGGCTTCTTAAGTCTTGCAGCCTGACATGCGCTCGAAAGCAGGACACAGGAAATTCCATCCACAATGGACACCAGCAACCGACGTGGCCTGGCAAGAGACTTCAGTAAAAGTGACGACTCGTTGTTGATGCACATGAGTTTCGCTGCCACTTGGATGGCCTATGTATCCAACAGATACAGGCAGCTTCACCGGCGCAGCTGCAGTGTTTTTTGCTGCGTTATGTGCAGGCCTCGAAATGAAGAAACTCTTGGAGACTTAAAGAAGAAGAATAGCTCTGCAGCGCGACTTGCCAGGAGCTTCTACCGCCTCCGCAGAGGCGGGCCCTGCGCGGGATCCTTTGTAGACAAGTCAAGGCCCCCTTTGCATTCTGCGCCTTCCTGCGCCAGCGCCCGAACGTGCTTCCTCCGGTGCCACCAAAGCCTAGCGAGATGCCCGGTCCGAGCTGCCTTGAATACGCGGCATGGGCTTCCAGAAAAGGGGCCTACCCGCCACGAGGCAAGAACAAGTTCATCTACGACTTGCAGGCGCTTGCCTTGTCCAGTCCCTGATGTTGGATTGCATTTTTGCTCATCAGGTTCAGTCCTGGAAAGCAGAGCCTTACGATAGAATGAGGCTTTATCTGCAGGCGGGAGGGAACTGAGATGGAGCGAATGGAGAGCGAGAGACCTCGAGGACCCAAGTGCCCAGCAGTGCCCAGCCAGGCGGTGACGCAACGCTTCGTCCAGGAACTCGAAGCAGCCTGGGTCTCGAGCCTCGAGCCGCCTCGGGGTTGCGGGGATTTGCGGGTTCCAAATGCGATGCTTTTGCCCTCTGCCCAGAGCGCCTTCGGTGGCAAGTACTTCATCCACTGGACTGCGGAGCCAGACTCGGAGGAGTTCTTCAAGTTCGATGTAGTTGACCGAGACAACTACAACGAGGTGTCAAACAAAGACTCGGTTGTGTTTGTTGCGCATGCGATACCTGCGCCATGAGCGACAGTGAAGCTTTGTCCAAGTTGCAGGCAGCCAGATCGGGACAGATTTTGATCGATAGTGACATCAGTGAGCCTGAAGAGGGCATCGAGGCGGGGATCCATTCACTACTAGCCTGTTACATTCAGCCTCGTGCTACACCGTGTGGCACATCGCCCTCTTCTTTCAAGGTGTACGTGTACAAGAATGCCGAGGCGAATTGCGATTTTGCCACGAGGGGTTCTCGTGACCACGAAGCCTAGCTTTGCAGGCAAGGGCGGAGTTGGGAAAGACGATCCTGATTCAGGACAGAGTGACCACATCCACAGCACGGCACGGGCCGGACTTGGAACATCCAAGCGGATTCTGCGAGGACCTGGTCATCGTGCCGAAGGAGCTGCAGGATGCGATCCGCGTGCCGGTCTCAGAATGGCAGGAAGACGAAGCGAGAAGCTTCGTTGCACCGTCCGCGATCTTGAGTTTGTAGGTCATCCAGGCAACGCCGTTTCCTCCATATGTGGGTGGTCCTGATAGGTATGAGGGAATGAAGATGATTATCGAATAGTGGACTTCCTATGCAGTCATGGAAGATGGAAGACTCGCACAGCATGCCCGAATACTGCTGACTGTGGAAGTCTATCATGGCAGCGTGTTGCTGCCTTCGTTTTTCTGTTTCACTTAAACACCGTGCTTTGGGGGCTGGGGGCCTGTAAAATCAAGCCATTGACACATTCGGCTGCAGCAAGCCATCGTAGACGGACAGTTGCTCAGTCGCCTGTACATGGTGTGCGTCCCTCGCTATGGCTCAAGATGGATCTCAGCCATGGTCTTGCAAAGCACGAAGAGCACCAGAAGTGTCGATGTAGATCCGGCTAACAACCAAGAACAGCCCCACACATGTCTTTGGACACGTTGGCATGACCATTGCCTTCGCTCAAGGCTGGAAGCAAAAGAACCCATGTTGTCATGCTGCTTGAAACTCTGCACATCGCGAGGGCGGCTTCAAGAGATTCTGTGCTTGTCTTCTCCGAATAGTTGAGAAAAAACATCCGTCCGCACACAGTCCAGAAAAGAAATACGTGTTGACGCAGGCTGACGCATTCCGTGAGGCAAGCAAAGATCACATTCACTTTGCAGCAGCTCAAATGCCAGTCTAGGTCAAACAAAGATCCCGAAGCCATTCTCGTCAATCTCGGCACAACTTGCAATCAAATCAGGTTGAACCTGGCAAGAAAGACTTTCTGAATGATGCTGAGCGAACCAGCGTGTGCACAAACGGGCAGTATGCATGTGCACAGACTTGCGAAGTTGGGCTGGTGTTGGGCGAATTACATGTCTCAGCCTCTGCAGCTAGCCATGTTTTTGGTCCCAGATGCACTTGTGTACATAAAACCATGTCCCTATCCGGCATCGTGTCAGACCAGCGCGATGACGGAATTTAGGTCTGTCACTTTGCTCTTTATCACCGTTTGCGGAGTTTGTGATTTGCTCGGGGGCCATCAACTCTTTGTTGCCGGCTAGCTTGTCGCTGCAGCTCAATACGTTTGGGCGTTAAAGGCTACCTCGGGTTTGGCCTCATGCTTTTAGGGTTGTCAGCGAGCAGCATCTCTTCAGAACCATTGGGCTGGATCTTGAAAGATATTAGTTTTTCAGGTAGATCTTTGCCTTGACAGCTCTCTCTTGCCATGATAGGAGCGCAGCAGCTCCGGCAGGGTGACGGTGTTCATTAAGAAGCTTTCGGATTTCTTGGGGAATCTTCTTTGGGAGGTTTGTGTCATTCAACATGGAAGTGGTTTCTCTTCTGACCACTCCTTGCAAGCTGTAGCCTTTGTCAGATTTCAGCCCTTCTGACGCACCTGCTGTTTACAAGTCTCTCACGAGACATGGCCTGCTATTGTGCGATGCGGCTCTCCTCGCTGTCGATCGCTTCCAGATTCAACATACACTCGTCTTGTCTCGTCTTCGTACATGGCGCACCCGAGTTGCACACCTTTTGTGTTTAATGCAATGCTGCTGCTTTCGTAAGGCTCTTCACCGCAGAGGCCTGCTTGCGTGTTTGTAGCTGATAGTAGTTCGTGCAATTTGCACAGCGAACCGGACGTCTCCAGGACAGAATCAATGGAACACTCAGACAAAAGATAGGCAGGCCGCAATGGAAACACTCCTATGGACGAAACCACGTGTCAGAGCAGCAAGAGAGGTTGATACTCGACAAGCACAGATCTTCCACTTGGTACACATCAGGATGCAACCAGTTCCTGCGCCTGATTCTTCCCCACTTTCGCTGTGAAGAGTCAGGCGCAGCTCGAGGTCATGACTTCGAATTGGTTGCTGGATCAGCCAGAACCTTGCTGTTTCAAGTGCTGGTTTTGGAGTGCGACGTGCCTCGGAGCCAAGGCTTTGTACGGAGTACAGAGAACAGGTGGTCCAGCAAGACAAGGTGGCATGACGCAGCCCACGATGGCAGCTTCTACGGGCTGAGTGGATCTTCCGATCTCAGACTGGGATACTTCAGACATCTTCAGACCTTGCAGGAAACACACGAACTTACTGAGAATCGACGCCGTTATCCACGGCAGGATGTCCGGTGACCAAGAGTCTATTCCACACAGCGTTCAACTCTGGCTCTCGATCTCCACAGGCCACTGCTCACCTCTTGCTCAAGGTAGCCGACAAGCTGTTGCAGGAGCCTTCGGCGCAGCGTAGGGCTGTTGAAGCAAGTCGGCTTCTACTGTGCTCCAGGAGAGAGCGGGATTGGAAGAAGCCCGATTCGAGGCAACACCCTGGCAACAAGCTTTTTTTGGTTGCCGTGGCCCGCTCGGAATGTGTGCAGGAACACACAGCCGATCTGATTGCGTTGTGTCGTCGATTCGGTTTACACTTCGACAAGCCGAAGGTCAGTGAAAAGGCCGTGTTTGCGAAAGCCCTCCTGTGCTTGGTACTTCAAGTGTCCGTTTGGGGCTGTACTGCGTCATGAGAGACCCTAACAGGCTTCTTTAGCAGCATGCGAATATTCCGGCAGCCTACAGGCAGGAGTGATTTGAGAGGCTCCAGGCACAGCCATGCCCCTGAACTAGGTGGGCAGAACTCCAGGAGGCAGGCAGTGCCAGAGATTCAATGCTGAATGGTGCCTGGCAGCAAAATGGTTGGTAGGTCATCGCTACGCCCCTTTTTCGGTTCATGCGTGGCGGGCGCAACAGCCTCATCAGTCTCATGACAGTGAAGCACTCTACACACGATGCCCGTTTCAAGCCCAAGGGCGCAGGATTTCCTGAGAACCGGAAATGGTGGCCGTGCACCTGCAAGATCACGTGCAAGGCTTTGCATCACTCGTGTCTGCGACTGTCGAGGCCCGATGTTCGATCTTTTTTCGATCACGGCTTTGAGGCCATGCTTTGGCCTTGTCTTTGAGCTAAGCCTTGGTGAGGAGCTCTATCTAGAGCAGAGCATCGCGTGGGAGTGAAGGGAGTGGGATGGGTGGGATTGGGCGGTCGGATGTTTGGAACGGTCAGCCGATGTCTGGTTTTCCCCAAGATGACGTTGATCACGACAGCTGTGTAAGGAGTGGGCCGGGACCGCCGGCCCAGTCACCCCTCCCCCCCCTCCCCCACTCCCCTCCCCCCCTCCTCGCTGCTGAGTCGTTGATGTGGTTGGATGTGCCGGAGGTGATGATGCCATCTCTGTTTCCCCCACTGCCTTGCCCGCTTTGTTTCGCCTCCGATGCTGATTGCCCGCCTCGTCAGCTCTGTTTGCCTTGCGTTGCTGACGTGGTTGGCTATGCACGCCTAGCCAGGTTTGTATCGCTTGCCGTCCCTCCAGCCTAGGCTAGCTTTCGTTCCCCTAAAGTGTTCCCCTTCCCACAGCTTCGGCACGGTCCTAGAATCCTATAAGGGGCCAGAGGATTCTGGACAGGTGCTTCGACATGGAGACTTTGTTCGCGCCAACGCTCCAGAAATGGTGCTCGCCTTTGCGTGAGCCAGCAGATTGATTGGTTGGTGGCAATGTATATTACTCCCGCGCCATGTGCTTCCTGACGGGCGTCAGGTGGTTGGCGACATCGTGTATTTGAAGAGTGGCGACTGTGCGCCTTGGGATCTACGAGTTTTAAAGACTCTGGAGGCGGGTAGCCTTGCGAGCGTTCTCTGCACAGATGCGTGAGCTGAGCAGTCAGGACACCCGGATCGACACATCAACAGGTGTTGGCTCAGAGGCCCGCTTGGAACATCGAGGTCAGAGCACTAGCATCGCGGTTGTCCAGGTCCGAGACTGTACCGAGTGCTGCACATCAGCCGCCACTTGCCTGCAGACAAGTTGGTACGTTGATGATACGTCAGACAAGGGAAGCAAGCCACCCAGTTCAGTTTGATGCAAGGATCCCTTGTCCTCTGACAATATAGTTATCAAGGCTGGTTGGGCTCTGCGGATGTTTGGCATGCAGTGTAATTTCCTCCGACAGGGGAGCTGGATCCTTCAAGGATCGCTTCTGGCCGTGGTGATTCGAACTTCGATGGACCCTGCTTTGTGCGAAGCTTGTAGTGATGCTGCCATGGCAGCCTTGGCCACGACGCGGATTGGGCTATGCCTATGAGCGAGTTTCATCTGTTCCTCCCCCCCTCAACTTACATTTTCTGCTGGAAAATGCACGACTGCGACGTAGCTTGCGCAATAAGATGAAAGATAAGCAGCCTCCACGATGGCTTTCAGCACCCTCCGGAAGCTGTGCTTTCGGTCGTGCAGCCTCCAACCCCGGTCACTCAGGGACATGTTGCTGATCGTGCAGAACACGTGTGTTCGTAGTGACAAGCTTGCGTAACGAGAACTGTCGCTAATGAGGGTCGAAGCGTTGGCTGTGTTGGCAGCAGGGGCCCGGGTGCGGTGATCGAATTAGCTTTTCGTTTCTCTTCGGAGAACTGTGAGCCATGGCTGGCACATAGGGAGGAGATGCGCCTGACCCAGACCATTGGGCGAGCCTCCACACGGTGATGATCACCGAGTTCTCGGAGCTAGAGAAGGTCGCAGATTACTTCGTTTGGTCAGCCACGAAAAGTTCCCTCAAGTTCGCCCCTACTACTAGTCCGATGGCGCTCCGTTTTCAATGCACCTTCGCCAAAGCGCATGGAGGTCACAACAGCGCAGGCGCCCCAAGGGGACCAAGTTTGGAGCCAGCTGCAAATTCGCACATGCCGGACAGGGCAGTAACAACCAGGCCGGCCGCTGTGCCCAGCTCGGAACACCTCATCCGTCGGGGGCGCCCGGAGTTTGACAGACGGCAGCGCCCAGGTTCATCCCGAGCGCTCATCTCCGCAGGTACTCCAGGTTCGCAGTACAGCCCACACTTTTCCGCCCCTTCTCCTAGCCCGAAGCGCCACACCCCTTGCAGAGAGATGCGTGCGAGCCTCATGTGGCTCTGCGTCCACCCGGGTGATGCCGAATCCGCCCCCCACTAGCGCCACGAGTTCGACGGCCAGCAGACCAACCTTCACCCTCGCCACGCATACCAGTCGTTCTCAAACCCGAAAGTGCATCCGCTGCGTCGCAGCCTGGTGTGGCTCCTCCGCAACAGACGCTGCAACCAGTTCCTATCACCAGTCCGCCCAAGCCTTCAGCTGCTCCGCGAGACACACAATCCGCTACTCCACAACATCATGCCAGTATACAGCCCCGATCCCGGTTTTCGAATTCGCAGCACGAGCCACATCCCCTTTTGTCCGGTCAAGTTCAGTGTCGACGTCTCAACAGGGAAATCATCCCTAACAGTTCGCTGTTTCCGAGACAGGTCGCATCCTCGTGTTCTTTCGCTATACCTTCAGCGATGAGGCGTCCTGAGGCCGCGTTAGGTTCCCGTGCTTAACCGGCCAAGAAGCGGCGAGCTGAAAGCCCCAAATTGTCACTCGGTGGAAAAAGTCCAACAGAGCATATCGACTGTGGCAGTTTCGCAAGCATGCCGTCGTCAAGATCGCAGGGAAGTTTGACGTCCCCGACCCCCAACAAGAGAATGGTTTCAGTTGCTTCCCAGCGGCTACACGGCTGCGGTCTCTCCACACTCGAGAGCTAAGCTGCTGGGCAACGCGTGGCAGGGGTCTAGGATGCTTCTGTTCGTCATACTGTGCCAAGGTGGTCTCGTCGACTCGCAAGCGGTCGCCGTCGAGCCTTGGTACCCTCCAGTGCCAGGCGTGTGCTTTCAGGTCGAGTGGCATCCTACGGGAGCCGCCCTGCAGAGAGTGGCATTGTCGTGGGACCCAACTGAGCCGCCGCAACGGAGTGGACTTTTCCTGGTAGCGGCCCTTTCCGTCACTTTGAGTGGTCGCATCAGCCTTCCCTTCGTGCCTTAACCCGTGCTTGTCTTGGACTCTCGAAGTACAGGCTTTCCTAGGCTGCAAGTTACGGACATTCGCCAAGCAATGCTGCAGGACCTAAAAAGTTGGTCGCCGAGTTGCATGCGGTTGCATGAAGACCAGCAAGAGGTCCGCCAGGCCCTTCACGTGGCAGCACTGTACAAGCAAGGTTCGCAGGAGTTTAAATTCCAGCTGCTTCCACTTGCGTGGCTCTTGGAGTTGTGCCAGATCCCAGGTCCCAACGAGCTTGTGTCAGAGCGGTTCTGGGGCTTCAAGCTCCTAGGTCCTGTTACCTAACAGAGTACTCCGCCAGGAGAGCATACATAGACGATGGTCGCACAGCTTTTCAACGAGAAAGAGTAGGGTCGCTCCTTATTTGGGAGCGCCGACCGTGGTCGCAGGTGCACTTGAGTGTTCCAACAGGTTCGCAAACCCTCTTCCTGTTTCGGCGGTCGACCACGAAGGCGCGTACAGATCGCTTCCTGTGCGCGACCAAGTGCTGGTTTTGCCCGGCGACCCGCCCACACTTCAGTCGCATTTCGCTTTTCTTCTTGGTTCCGTTGGCTCGGTAGCCCGGTCTGGGGCTACCTTCAGGTATTTTCGGGTAGGAGACGTGGCTTCCTCAGTATCACGCTGCTCATAATCTTCGCAGCTCACCCCGTAGATGGGTTTTATCTCCATAGAACAAGCATCTACAGCTACGGGCGCGTTCGCCGTTTTCCAGGCCTTTCATAGACTGTCGGGCATCAGGATGAAGGAATGGAAGTCTTTACACCCAAACGGGAGCAGACGCTGTTGGGCATAGAGTGGACTTTCGCCCAAGATGCCCTGTTCGCGTCACCTGGTGCCAAGCGCATCAAGAAGCTGCAGCAAAGCATCCAACAGTTTTTCGACGGAAATAGGATGTCCGCACAAAGTGCGCTGTGCTTACAGAGAAGCTGTGCTCTACTTGCACCTGGGTGTTCAACAATGTCGGTCGTTCCCGTCTCAGCCTCTTTAGTTTCGCCAGCACCACGGCAACCCGGGCCCGACTCCCCGGGTGAAACTGGCGTCGCATCAGTTGTTTCACTTGTTGCTTACACTCAAACCGAGTCGGTTTGCTATGAGCTCAGCAGAAAGGTCGAGAGCCGTGGTGCAGCTATATGCTGATGCATTCATCACAGTGCACGGAGTTCGCAGAAGCATCAACAGATGGTTGGAGTTGTTTCCGATCCAGGAACTGAAGCAAGCAGTCGTGGCCATCCTTGGTCGCCCTCCAATCGGATTTCGCGAGGAAGTCCCAGCACAACCTGGGGGATCCTTGTCATTCATTTCATTTGTTGTGCCATTCCTTGTCTCTGTGCGGCAGGACCCTGCTCTCACGGATCATTCATCTGTGTTAGTGGTGTCTGGCATGTTCCCGTACAAACGAGTCCTCATTCTATTTATCTTCTCTCGCTTCTCTAGTCGAAAAAGCCAAACGCACGAAACCTTCAAGCTTACGCCTGAATGTGTGTGCATTCGAGTTGGAAGCTCTGTGAGTGAAGTATGTTCTGATCAAAAATCAAGATCGTAAGAAACCTTCGAAGGAATAACAGCAGAGCGGCTGCACCGCCTAGGTTTTTAAATGCCATGGCTGCCATGAAAAGGAGTTACAGTGATAAGCAGCAGCGCCCGAGCGACATTAGCATGTAGCACCTGTGATGCAAAAAAGTATATGATAGGCAGATGGCACGAAATATCAATAGGCATCCTGCTGCATCTTTCGCCCAGAGAATGAATGGTGCAGGATCCGCTTGCCCCTCATCTTTGTGCGAACGACTCTGATCAGGCCACTTGAAGACATACCGAAACGAGCAGTACTAGGAATCAGGGCTATGGGGTTTAGAACGGACGGATAGATACACTTTATGTAGGACCTTGCGGGCTCTGCGTTTCCACAGCCTGTCAGGATGTCGAGTTTGCCATTGATGTGACGATACCGCCCGGCACCTGCCAAAGCCACCTTGCCACGCTCATGTCTCGAGCCAGTGAGGAGCGGACTAACCGCGGCTTCTTGCCAAACGAGTTTCTCAAATTTATGCACCTCGGAGTCTTAAAATTTCTGGCATCAGAGCACTTGATGGCTTCAATGTGCTGCAGCCCGCGTGCCCTATGTCCTATGCAGGGACGAAGGCTAACTGCATTTGCCGTTCCTTCGAAATCATGGCCCAGCTTTCTGCTGCGCAGATCTCAGAAGCTGATAGTTTCAACGTTTTCAGCGTTCCTGGTTGGGTTCAATCCAAGATGGCGAAGCCAAGCGCTCGTCACATGACGTGCTGCAGTGTCTAATGTAAAGTACTGGTGAGGTCGATGCCGTCATCATATTTTTGACAGAGGACTTCGGGCGAGGGATCTCCCCACAGAGACATCTGCACAACTGCACTGACTTCTGACTTCGGAGGACCTTCGCAAAGATGCATCGGCCCTCCAGGATACAGTCCGGGATCTACACGGACTTGGCAAGGCATGCCGACTATCGCCCACAGAAGTATGAGGGCTTGCCCATCATAGAATCTGGAGACCAAGCATTTTGACTCGAGGGCAAGTCTTAGTCTGAACTTACGGAACTGGCCGCGTGGCAGCGTGGCAGCACAACTCAGCTGGTGTACAAAAACAGTCGTCACAAGCAGTTGTCCGGTACTGGGCCAAGTAACCCAGCCCCAATGCCAGACTGGGCCTGGCCCAAGGCCAAGGCCAAGCCCAACCTAGCCCAAGCCCGGCCGAGCCCAGGACAGGAAAGAAACACTCACTAACGGCTGATGCTTTTCGTTGCTGATATTTGTTGTTCTTCAGTGCTCAGTGCTCTCGTTTGCAGTATCCAAGAGAATACTTTGCATCGTCGTGCCCAACACGAGGCAGTATTCTTGCTCGTGAAAGATCAGGGGATCGCATCCCGACTGGCAGAAGTGCGGAGCCCAGCAAGCCCATGAGCCTGGTGCCACAAACTGGAATCCTCTGGCCAAGGACTTGAAGTTGAAACAGATCTCTTTTGAGAAAGGCCAGGCAGCAAGCCACGCAGCCGGGCCCAGCCTACGCTTCTGCAGCTCATGGTGATGCTCAATGGTCTTTCCAGGCAAGCAGACTCCCAGCACCTGTGTCTCGAGTGTGGGCCTGACATGGCTTGCCACCCGCGGTCATCCGCTGTCTTGCAGTCTGGCCGAAACTTTCGTTGAGCGGGCCTCTTTGCCAGATCGGTTCCCTCGACGTGAGCTTCGAAGGCGCATCTGCTGCTTCGTTTACTTCGTTTCCTGTTGATTCACCGAAAGTGTAGACAGGTGATGTGACGGGCACTTGCTCCGGTACACCAACACCGAGGCCGTGCTGCTGAATTTATATGTGGGAAAGCAGACTTCAGCTTCAAGCTCTTTTTGGTGGTGTTGGATGCTTTGATGTTGCCTCCGTAGGCGGGGACAGGAGGAGGAACGTCGGGCTCCAAGCGATGGGAGTGTTGTAGCCTTCACACACGGAAGGCAGATGCACAAGCTGTACATGGTATGCCTCGATAACTTCCGTGAGGTATTGAGGATTTGATGAACAGCTGCAAAGCTGCCGTTCCGGGCGCTGTTGTCCATGGCATGTCGGAGGCGAGAAAATTCGAGCAGTGCTCGCCTGTACCACTGTAGCCGAGCAACGGCAATTGATTTGTTGAAAGTCGAGCTGCCATTTTTTGTTTTCTTGTTTTGATTGATGGGAATTTTCAGCTGTTCGAAGATTCCATCTGTTATGATAGCAATGCAGTCCATGCTGCATAGATTGATAGCGTGGCAAGCCAGCAAGACACCGAAGAGGCGAAACCTAATAGCATGTCACGACGGCACGTGCAAACGGCAGGCAGCACTGGTGCAGTTCTGCCTCGTGATGCAGGAAGCTGGTTTAAGTCCGATGTATGCCTTGATCTCGATTTGAGGCAATGTGAATTAACATGTTCCTGCCTCTGTCAACACCATACTGAGGTGGCCAGCCAACTGCAATCTCAGCTGTTGGCCAAGACACGACTTTGAGCAAAATGCTGCTAGAGGGTGCAAGCTTGACATGCTGAGGTTTCTGCGGGCCCTTTCGGATCCTACCTTTCGTTCGCAGGTGGGAGAGCTACTGTTAGCAGCCCCTGCCCTGCAGTCTCTTCAGCCACGGAAGCTCTCTGACGGGTTTCGTCATCCCCTGCCCGAAGTATGGTGTCGCTTCACTCGCGTCAGGCGCCCTCTGTTTCTTCAGGAACACAGGCGCAGCACCTGGGCGCACCTCGCAGCTTTGGGCTAAAGAGCCGCTCCCAGCAGGTGCAGCACTTCCCCTCCAGGGCCAGCAGAGCCAGCCAAGAAGCCGCATCACCACGAAGAACCAAGGCCAGCGCCCAGAGCCAAGCAGAGCGGAGAGGGAGCTGCGCAGCAAAGGAAGCCTTGAGAAGCTGTGCTTTCGGGAGGCGGTCGTCAAGACGCGGACTGAAGCTGTCGACCACGGAGAAGCTCACAACCTGACTGATGTGATCAAAAGCATGGGCTTCGCGGAACTAAACCAGGTGGACAACGCAGCCTGGTCTTCCCATTCCTTTGGCCGCTTCCTTCCGCTTCCTCAGCAGGTTGGTGAGAAAAACGCGCCAAAAAGAGCGTCTTCCCTCACAATTGTTGCTTGACTGGGTTTGTGGGAATCTTTCGGGTCACAGAGTTGGGTCTGAATCTGAGGTTTCGCTGAACGCCACAGGCGTTCTGGCAGACCGCTGCAGCTGTGCCTGTCTGCGGCAGCTGCCCAAAACTGCAAAATCACGTGCATGGGCAGGCAGCTCTCTCTGCGTGGCCTTACCAACCCTGCAGCAAACTAAGGTCTGACCTGCGATGTGTGGGGCATGCATTGCAGTTGGCCCCCAGATCAGTGCGCATATCCAGAGGTGAAGAAGCGCATGCATTCCACATGTTCATGCTCGTGCCGTCTGAAGCTGCAGGTACCCAAGACCTGACTGGGCGCTTCGGGCTTGTATAGGGGAGCTGCTTAATGCTTTTGTTCAGGTTTGGGGTGAGTTTCAGGTCCCAGTCTCGGAACGGACATATGGCTCAACACATAGCGTGTTTCATGTTGAGACGCTCGTTATGGCTCGCTTAAGCATCCAAATTTGGAGTGGGTGCTTCGTTCCGGGATCCCAGGTTCCCTGTACTGAAACTCTATCCCGTGCAATGAGCACCTGAAATTTGGCTTCTAAGATGGCTGGTGTGTACAGTCGTCGAACCTCGCAGGATGCCCTTCCCTGCAAACTCTTTAAATCAGCTTCTTATTATTCTTCAACCCGCACTTTGTACAGCAACTGTGCAGAACTGTTTTTGGTAGCCTGCATCGCCGCATCGCACCATAGAAAAGTTATATAATGCGCCTCCCGATGCTGGTCGTGTCTGTCGCGATTTCGGTTTGCTTCTGGGTGCGTGGGAAAACGCTGCTGGGTAAGTCGGATGAAACCTGCAGCGTGAACTGATGTCGGGAGTCCTTGCATCCACCTTTTTCCAACTATGTGATGGCATCCGTTCTGCATTTCTGCATGGAAGTGCGTCTGATTCTCTGCAGGCATGCATGCATACATGTGCATGTACGCGCATGTACGTGTGTGTATATTTACTTATATGCATATGTCACATGTCACGAAACCTCGCACCCTCACACCCTCGCCCTCGCCCTCACCCTCTCTGTCCCTCTTCTCCTTCCTCTGATTGAACCGAGTAGGATTGGCCGGGTCCAAATCCAGCTCTCTGGCTGGATGAGTCATCCTCTGCAGACTGCATACAGGCGTTTGCTGTTGCTCTTCGGGACATGTGTGCAAGCATGTGTTGAACCGGGTGTGCAGTAGAAGCGGTGTTGCACGCGTGACTGGATTACCAAAAATTATCAGCCAACCCCTCCGGCAATGGTAGGCGCAGACTTGATCTTGGCTTGCTATGTGTTGAAGCTGAAGCTGCGTGAAGCATCAAACAAGCGGCATGATCTACTTGCCTTGATTGCCGTAAAGCTTCTACTCTTCCCGACCGCAGTGTAGCACAGCTATGCAACCCCATAAGTGTTCCTGCGAAGCGCATTGTCAGAATTCTGGATTTCTGTTGCTTTCAAGATTGGTGACTTGCTAACTACTGGGAATCGTACGGGGTTTCCAAAAGCTTCAGACATCTCTCATGCTTGCTCCGTCGCCATGGCCAGGCGGTGCTCCAGGTCGGATTGATTTCAAACTTCGCAATCGCAGAAAAACACAAGTTGCAGGTGGAAGCTTTCGCTTCTCGCCATCACCGGCCCCACCAGCTGTTGCACAATGCGGTTGGGGCCCTTGCGGTTGAGTCGAGACTGCACCATACAGTCCTGGACCAGGACCCGCCTTAGTGCCAGGTCTGCGTGTGGAGGCGCGGACCTTTTAGTGTTTTTCCCCAGTGACCTTCCTCGGGCCGGGCTGCTGGGTCGTGAAGGCTGAGTGGGTTCCTGGACGATGGCATTGCGGACAGGAGAGAGCTGACCTTGCGGTGTTATTTTGTCAGAAGTCTGGGGCTGCGTTGTCAGGTTGTGGAGGCAAGGCTCAGGGTGCTTTTATCGTCTTCCCCTCACCATTTCTAGGGAGCTGCCTTCTGAGGTGGCGCCTGATGGAGCCGTGACAATTCGCTATGACGATGGGCCACGCACCGACACTTGTGGGCCCCTCTCTCCATGGGCCGTGCGCATCCTGCGCCTCGCCAAGGTATCTGCAGAAAAATGTTGCTCACGGGAAGGCTGCCCCTGCGTTTTGCAAGCTGATGGGCTACAGGGTGCTCCTGGTGCTCGTGTGCTGACTTTGAGCATCAGAGTTCTACGTGCACACAGGCTAAGCTTTCCAACATCTGGTCCTTTGCGGGTCATGCCGTGGTCATGTTTGGTTAGATTGCATCCATGCTGGGGATTTTGCCAGGCCGCTCAAAGGCTTAGACGTTTGTTGCAGATTAAACCATACCGCACAGAGAAAAGCCAAAAGGGAACACCGCAGAACAGCAAACCACTTATCAACCAGTTTTCAGGATTTCAAGCAGGTTGCGGTAGCGTGGGTGTAGACGAGTACACGCTGTGACCGGAACCAAGGGGGGGTAACAGGAAGAATTGTTTCAGGAGCTGGCTTGAAACTGTTTCAGAAACCGGGCCGGCCTGTATCAGGAACTGGGAAGGGGCCTGTAACAGCAATCGGGGGGTGGGGGGTTGTAAAGGGAACTGCCTCTCCAACTTGTGCCTTGCACTCGCGCCTCTTATTTCACACTTGAGGACCTAGGATTTAGAATAGTGTTCAACCATAGCTTTGCAGGGAAAACCATAAGAAACTATGGTTTTTATTGGGGTTCGTAATGAAATCCAAATATAACCCATTAAAGGTTTTAAGGGTTTAGGGTTATAGGGTATAGGGTTTGGGGTGTAGGGGTGAGGGTTTCCGGGGGGAGTGTGCACAGAGGAAAAGAAAGCTATCATGTGTAAGTTTGAAGTCGATGAGTTGTTGAAGGGGGGTGGATTTCTGGGATTAGGGTTGCGAGTTTAGGGTTTAGGGAGAGGAGAGGAATAGGAGAGGAAGAGGGGGAAGAGCAGAGGACGAGGAAAGGGACAGGAAGAGGAGAGGCAAGGTTTTTGTCTTAGGGTTTAGGGTTTAAGGCTTAGTACTTAGGAGTTTAGGGTTGGGGTTTAGGGTCCAAGTTTGGGCTGAAAAGCGTTTATAAGGGCCAAGGGCTTCCAAAGGGCCTTCAAGGCTTATGAGGCGCCGATAAAGGGCTTCTGAGGGTTTCTTATCAGGGCTTGTCAAGCCTTTACTTGTAAAAGGACTCACACGGGTGCCCTTGTAATCTTATAAGGGTTTTATTGGCGTTGTAGGGGCTTTTAAGGGCTTCTGAGGGCTTATAAGCGCTAGGCTTCTCAGGGCTTCTAAGGGCTTTGTAAGGCCTTTGAAGGATTTTGTTTGAAAGAGGAGGTCGAAGCGCTCTCTCCGCTTGAAGTCTCAACCCAAGACGCGGTTTCGCTTTCGCTGTCCGGCTGGTTTCCGTTGCAACTCCCACTGGTTACAGTTACTAAACCCACCATGTGTAACTGTCAGAGACAACAGGTTCGTGCTGCTGCCAACGGACCTGCCATTGCGTCAGGCTGTCGGACATGGAGCTTGAACGTGAGCTAGCATTCATGTGATATGCAGCTTTTGTTAACAGGGCCTCTTCGTGCGGGTGTCCCGCCACCACCACCACCTGCTGTGTACCCTTGGCCAGAGGCCTTGCAATCTTGGGATGCAGCACGGGTTCAGTCTCTGACTTTTTGTGTGAGAGCTCGGCCAGGACGGAACAGCGAAACCAGGCCGGGATCGTCCTATCACCTCATTAGAGTCCTTAGTCCGGCTTCTCGGCAAGGTGAGCAAGTGTACGTTGGTGAAGACGAAGATCCATGCACCAAGAAGGCTAATGTTACTGCCGGAGTGTGTGTGTGTGTACCTTCCGTTCTCTTCCGTCTCTTCCGGGGCGGATTTGCTCAGTTCCGGAAGCGGCTGTCCATTGCCGTGGACAAGGGCCGCACAGAGGAGGTGCAGGCACCGGGTTATTAACTTTGCTCTTGCTTCGACGGATATCGTCACGAGGTAGTGTACCTCACCTTCTGTTCATGGGACGTCCGCCTCACTACTAAAACCTGCCAGCTCCTACCCGCACACGCAGACAATGCTCAGAACATCCGCAGTGCCACGCTCTCTTTGTGTGCCATAGGCCACTGGAGCAATGAGACGTCGACCATTCAGTTCATAGGGACAGAGAAAGCATACTTGCGTTGTGAGGGGACTCGTTCGGAGTGCTTGAACTTCGGGGGTCACGTGTGCTTTGGAGGCTTTGCTCCTCGATGCCCACAAAGTCGGCCTGCAGGGCCCGGAGGCACAGCCACCTTCCCCTGCGGTGTCTTTGAGGTCTGCAAAGAATGCGGCAGGTGCGCTGGGCTCGCGACGTCCTGCTTGCTGCCGAGGCCGCGGCGTGCCGCGGCGTGCCGCGTCGGCCCTCAGCTCGGACAAGAGCCGAGCCGAGTGCTGCCAAAGGCCGCCGAGTTCCGGAAGAGTGCTGTGATGCTGGTGGAGGCCCGAACGAGTGCTTTCGCCTTCGCGTTCACTCCGCTGTCTCGTCGTTACTTGTGGCTTTCAGGACGCCGTGGAGTCCGGCGACTACTGGAAGCTGCAGGCGGCTGCACGCTCAGTTTGGACAGCAGGCACGTGGAGAAGCCGCTTGCGATTGCAATGGTTGGGAGAGAGCCAAGGCAATGCAAGCTGCGGTTGGCTGTGGTTTGGGCGCAGAGCAGGCCAGATCGGAGCCTGCTCTGCGACTTGAGTTTTGTGCGACCTCCAGGCACCCCCGCTGAAGCAAGCGATGCGTACTCACAAAGCTCGTTCCGAGGCGCTTGGTTTGATCAACACATTGTGCAAGCTTTCTCAGCTTTAGCTTGGCAGCTTGGCGAGCCTCAGGCATCCAGAGAGCTGCGGAAAGCAGCTCAGGTGCGCATACCCGGAAGTTGCACTCCTTGCCTAGGCGATAGAGTGAGTTCTCCTATCAGCAAGTCTGGATCTGGTGGAGAACTTCACATCATCCCGGTTAAGGGGATCCAAATGGCTGAAACTTAGACCGTGAAAAAGCAATGTGGAGCATGAGCTGCGATGTTGCAATGCACACATCCGCAAAACGCGCTTCGAATTCTGCCTTTGAAAGCCGCGCGACAAAGCTGCTGCAGATTTTTCCCAGCGTTTGATTCCGATGAAGTCTTGTACTCGTCGTAACTTGACTACACTTACTGTATGCTGTACGCTTGTGGTGTTGATTGACTTCAACACCCTGCTTTTGCTGACTCTTGACCTTTGGACTCTGAACCATGGCTCTACATCCGTTTGTGTATCGATGGCTGTTGGCTGCGGGATGTGCATGCGCAAGGGTGAGGAGAATAGCAGGATCAGTTTAAATGCGAGAGCGCTGTCATTTCCATCAGTTTCCACCCCAGACGGCGGCTCTCTTCTGCTGCATGGACACTTGTCGGCACTGTCGGCACTGGTGTGCCACAACAACCAAGGCACCACACATCCGGAATCGAAGTTGGCAAAATTCTCGCAGGATTGGTTTGAGGTGGCGGAATATGTACGGAAAATTCGTGACCTGCCCTGCCCCAATTTTCCATAACAAATTTCGCAAAGCCGTAAGTTCCACTTTCTGAAGAGAGCCCTCCCGCGCGACAGGCATCGACCGGCGTGCTAGCTTTGATCAGCGTCGCTCGTCATTCCAAAGCGTCCATTTATCTGCTTGCCGCAGATCCGAGATGTCCCACGACTGCGAACTGCCATTGAGGGGGCTCTGAAGGCACCGGAACAGTCAATAGCCTCAGGTGCAAACAGAAGCACTGTTAGTAAGTGCAGCCGTGTGGCAGGTCCACTTGGAAGAGGATGTCGTAAAGCGAGCCCGCGCAACTCTTCGAGCTCTGCAGGCGCCGCAAAAAGAACTGCAACCCCTTACTCTTGTAGCCTTGGCAAAGAGGAGGAGATTTTGCTCCTCCTCTCTGCCTGTTTTTGTCGAGGCCAGGGAAGCTGCCCGAAAGGAGCTACGGCGAGCTGCCGAAGCCAAGGCGGCGCCCTCGGCCCTCGGCCCTCACCGGAGCTTTTGGTCCACTTTTTTTTTGGCGTGTTTGTTGAGGATATGACTCGACTGAAAGCTGCCATCATCGCTGCCGAAAAAAGCTTCCAGGAGAAGGCGGTCAAAGGGAGGGCACGGTCTTTGGTGCAGGAGAGTTCGTTTGAGTCCATTAAAATTGGTAGTCTTTCCAGGTTCCCGAGATGTGCGGGGATGACCCCAAGGAGAAGCAAGAGCCGTGCACTTATGATACGTCGAAGCACTCTGGAGCCGTAACATGGATCTTTTGCATCGGTTGTGCTACCAATATCTCATGTGAAAATGAAAGGGACATCACGCTGACAGCGCCTCATGTTTACAACATACTTCATGCTGTGTCTGTCGGAGTAATTAGATGGTTCTCCAACAGCAAGCAAGCAGTAGTATGAATAATTCTTGCGAGCAGTATCATACTGAGTCCCCAAGACGCTTTGCTTTAGGTTGGATGCAGCACGAGCAGCTCTGCGCACGCATGCCACGAGCAGGCATGGCCTAGCGAGTGGAGACAGCCATTTTGACGGCAACTGAAGAGACCGAGCAGGCTGTCAAGACTGGCAGATGCAGAAGACATCGAAAGCCTCGGAAAAGGTCTTCAGGTGCCTGGAGTCATGTTGGATGCTTCATGCTGTTGAGCAACTTGCATTGCCACAGGAACTTTCTGGCCATGGAGTTCCGGCAGAAGAGTGGCAGCAGTTCGAACAGAGGTGCTGACCCTCCCTGCCTGAGTTGAATGGAGACTGGCCTCGCAGCAGGCACTCTCAGCTGAAGACGCGCCAGCGGTGCCAAGATAAATTGGCACAAGCGACGAAGGTCATCAATCCACTATGCACATGCACGCAGCCACTCAAAGTGTGCAGAGCTTCAAAACCCAACAGCTTTGCTTGTCGTCGGGGTGAGCACACGAAGCGCACATGTCTCCCCTCCTTCTCTCTCTCTTCCTCGCTCGGTCTCTCTCTTTCTCCATCCATGTTTGTGTAGTCAGTGTAATCGGTATGTCGGTGCATGCAGGCAGGCCGGCAGCAGGCAGGCAGGTAGGTATGTTTTGCCCGAAGGCCTTGACATATTGCACCCAGACTGAGCTCTTATCGACTGCCGACGACAGCCGGACGGATAGAACACCTCAGTTTCTTGGAGACATCCCTTGTCATTATCAACAAGTCACCAAGCCACTCAAATAAAACTTGAATGACGAGCAAACCGATCCGTCCACCAACCCGTTGGCTGAGGGAAACCCTGAAGGGGAAGTGCCTCTGGGGGCGTAGACAGCGACTGGAAGTAGCGTGAATACTTGGCGGTATAAAACCCAGCGGATGTCTGCAAAATCCCGCTGTAGCTCCACTGGCAGGCCAGAGACAAGGATGCAATCCTGGCTGCTATGGAAGATGCCAAGGAAGCGCACTGAGATCACAGAACGAGCAAACCCACCTGAGCTTGTAGGTCGTGTTGGAGCAGAACTCAGAAGTCATCGAGATTGCCCAGAAGACGGTGTCCATGCTCGAGGCCCTTACCTCATGTGGCCCATGTTTGCATGGCAATAGCTGACTCGTTGTTGATATCTTCCGTGCCTCCGAAGATCTCTGAAGGCGGAGGAGACCATGGCCAAGACGCGTGCCGAGGTGGCAGAGGCACCTCATTTTGGTTTCGTTCAGTTCATGCTGTGCTTTGTTGTTCCTTCCGACATCTTGCGTTAAGGCGGTCTTGGAAAGGGCGGTAATGGCGACCAATTTGTCGAATCGCGGGTTTTAAGCAGGGTTGCTTTGACAGGCTTCACGCATGTTTCTCAGGCTGTTTTCACAGGCTTCTTTTGTTTGGCAGGTGTCTCGCTGCTATCTCACAGGTTGCTCATAGGTTCCTCATCTTATTTTATGTGTGGCTGGAGCACGAAGCAGAAACACAGCACAATTTGCACGGCATTGGTGGGAGCACGATTTCGGGCGGCCGACGCACGGAACTGCGGCGGGAGGAGGAGGAGGAGGCGGCGGAGGAGGAGGAGGACGCGCACCCCGAAATATGCGGCAGGAGCAAAATTCGTCAATTTGGACAGCGCCAAGAGTGCACGTCGGGGGCTGGTAAAAACGCTTTGCTCGAAAATGCGCATTGCATAGATAACTACTTTGGCCGAGCTATACTGTGCAACATCATGCCCCGAGAAGGTATTAGTAGTCCCCGAACCATGAAGGTTTGGCCGACCCATGCTGAAAAAGGGGGACATGGCGACACGGCGGAAGAGCCAGAGCACCTGCGATATAGTAGTGCATTCCAGTGGGCCAGACGATCCTTGCAAAGATGCTTTTGCGTGAAGCGAGGCGGGCGCGGGGGGGGGGGGGGGGGGGAGTGCAAGATTTCCCATGTAACTACGCAAAACGTTCGGTGCCCGTCAGCATAAGAGGCACCTTTCAATGTTTCTTGAGCCGCTCGTTGTTCGCGTGTTTTACAAGACGAAGAACTTGTATAATACTTACCAGCTGGTCCTTGGTGTTGTGCCCTTGCTGAATGGATGGTGCTGGAGGAGAAGGTTTGCGGAAATGGCAGAACACCAACGACAGGCAGCGTAAACAGCCACGGAGCAAAATCAACATGCGGCGTGAACTTGGAGGGAACCAGCCTTTATCCGGGACTACCCGCTGACGGTGGGTCATCCAAATTGAAGCACAGTACCCTGACTTGAAAGGGAGGGACGTGACGGGGGCACACAGGGTTTCACATACAGCTCGAAAACAGTGAGGCAACCCCATAAGCTGACCGGTTCTTTGTGCCCCAGTGGGGACGCAGCTCAGGCTTTCACGGAAGATCGCAGCCAGTGTTGTGCGCGGGACTAGGACTAGGCTTACAGGCAGTTCAGGATCAGGCCGCGCAGACGCAGGTAGGTAAACTGAACTGCCGGATTCCGATGTGCTGGATCAACTGTGTGGTGTTGTCTCATTCCCAACGAAAACGAAAACAGCAACGAAACCAGAGGAGAAGCGAGCACAAACGAATGGATAAGAAAGTTACAGACCGGAAGGACCGGCGAGACAAACCGCAACAACAACAGTTGTCAGTGAAGGGGAGGAGGATGGTGCTTTTTCAGACTGGAGCGAGGGCAGTCCTGCACAGAGTGACAAGAAAGAAAGGAATAGAAAACAAGCAAGAATCTATAAGAACGACCAAACAATACAGGCTGAGTCTGAGGCGAGGATGCACGGCTCGTGTCGGATGCACGGCTCGTGCCTTGTAGCCATGCCCGGCCTTCCTCTTTTGACCTGGTCTCGAGGAGTTGACTCGCTCCGTGCACGGGGAGGCCTGGCCGGCATCGTTTACCTTCAATCTCTGGGCCCTGGGCACAGAAGTGCTCCTGACGTGCTCCGGAGGATCAGCGGCGGTTGATTGCAGCTCTTACAGCCGCCGATGCAGCAGGTTTCACCTCTTCGGAGGCTGGTCAGTTGTAGTCGTGGCCTGTTGCACTGAGATGTGGTCGTGACGGTCCCTACTTGCAGGTTGCATTTGCACGGGAGCGCCTGCGGCGACTGCGAGCTCGAGTTGGCGCGGTCCCGAAGCCCGCGTTCGCATCCTGTGATGAGACCCTGGGAGGTGCGGCGCAAGAGCTGCGGGAAGCGGCACATTCAGCAGACATGTACAGGCAAGAGATGCCGCAAGTCGTGCTTTTGATGCCGCGCTCTGTGTGACTCTGTGTGTGTGTGTGTGTTGCCACTGGGCGGCCCTGCTCTTGGCCCAGACGCTGGAGTGTGAGGTTCACTCTTGCCCTTAATGTGCAGAACATCAGCAGAGTAGTGAACCTATAGGCCAAGACCGTTTAGGCCTCTAGCCCGGGACCGCATTAGAAGCGCCCACAGCTGCAGAAGACACATCCATCAGAAGTAAATCGGAAACGTGCAATGCGGAGGGATGCGAGTGGCCTGCTCAACAGGAGCCGCTGCAGCACAGAAGTGATGAGAGGGCTGAATCTCGCAGATCTCGCACCTTTGCAGGATGCGTGCTTGCCTTCAAGCTAATGGTTCTATTGCAGCTACAGGCTCTGCCGGCTCAGGACTGTCCCATTTTCGCCGGAATAGTGCCATACAGACCAGTGGCACAGCGTGCTCACAGCACAAGTGTCAGGCCGTCACAGAGATGTCCTGCAGGACCACCGCAGAGTCGTGGGGCATGTGCAGCGGGGTGCGCCGAGCTGGTTTTAGTGCTTGCATGGGGCAATGATTCCTGGCTGTTTCTAGACTGTCGTCGTGGGGCCAATCACATTCGCCGAGGCCTGCAGCAAGAGCCAGCCGGAAGCGCTGGCGAGCATCTCAGGGTTGCACTCTTGAGTAGATTCGCGATTCGCGATGTCGAAGTGAGTTGTTGAAGAGGTGCTCTGGCAGATTTCGTTGGACAGAGGCAGGCTGCTCCTGCTTGTTTCGTGCATCTGTTCGTGCCAAGAGTTAGATCGAGGATCTATTTCACAAATGGCAACGCGCCGTGCCCCCTCGGCTCTCAGCAATCCTCCCAGCTTGCTGGTCTGCGTATCTTTTGCTTTGGGTTTCGACCGGTGGCGCGTTTTGGATTCTTCGTCCTTCCTGCACCCTCATTAGGCCAATCGTGGATGCGATGAGCTGCATTGAGGGGGCTGACGAGACCGGCCGTTTGCTTTCTTTTGCCCTTGCTTTTGCATGTAACTTCGGCTTCAGAAAGGCAGGTGACCTGACCCTGCAGGACGATTGATGTGCCCAGCGTTTGTGGAGGCACGCTTTTAAGTGTGAGCACCCCAGCTTTGCCTGGTCCTTCATGTTTCCAAGTTCACAGACTGCGTGTGTGACATTCATGACCTGCGAGGAATGTGTTCAGCGCAGAAACGAGTCGCTGCTACCCAAAGGGTGTTTCACATTGGAATATCTTGGCGTTGTCTCGTCTGCACGGCATGATTGAATGTCATATGAGTGATGGGTGTTCGGTCAACCGGCTCTGCGGTTTGCTTGCACTCGTTTACAGTTTACTGGCCAGGCTGGTGCTCAATCCTGGAGGACTCGGGATTCTGTCCTTTTTAGCATGCATCAGTCATGTGCATAGCTGAGAGGAGGGGAGACGCTGACGTGTCAGCAGCCTGCCTTCTGCGATAATATCTGTGTGTGGCGAACTCAGATCTTTCGATCCCATCTGGGGCAACCGTGTAGGCCTTCGGGGAGACGAGATACAGAAAGCTAGCCGCTAATCGTTTCTGGAGGAAGCTGCCGCCTGAGCCGCCGACAACTACGCTGCCTGCTGCAGCCCTTGCTTCTGCCGCAGTGGAACTAACAGATCAGTGGAGCTCACCGATATTGCTCGTGCACCCACATGCTCAGAACTAAGGTCACTGTGACGCACAGCACCATGACTTACACAGCCACCACTTCAATTTCGACAACTTCTACCAGGACAACATCAAGCCAAACACAGACATCTACAGGGACGCTCACGAGAAGCTCCACATCCACGATGAGTACAACTCTCACGGTGACCTCAGTCACAGGTACGAGGACCTCAACAACAACGTTTTCAGTGACGAGCAGCACAACGTTCTCACTCAGCACAAGCAGCACAACCAACACTGTACACACGACTGAAGTCATTGGTCTGGACTCGAATTCCAGCGGTTGTTGGAATTGCTCGGACTGGGACTACACAACCACCACCACCACTGTCACCACGACCAGCACCGCCTTCACAAGAGCCACCACCAAGCCAAAGCGTGATTGCCTGGATTGCAATGAGACTGGTGACAGCGGCTCCAGGGACCTTGTTGGAAGAAAACCTGCCCGACAGGCACCGACCAGTTATCAGCTCTCGACTGCAGCCCCGTTGGGCAAGCAGGTGCCATCCACAACTGTGACAACTACAACTGTGACCACTACTGCTTTGTCAGATGGGGAAGATTCAGATGCAATCTCTTCGACTGGTGATCAGATCAATGCTGACTCCGATGACAGCGATGCAACACCCAGAGGCGACCAGACGGAGCACGGGCATCAGCCTCAAGTGAAAACCTCCCCAAGCAACTCTCCCAGGAGCAACGAAGTAGCGACACCTTCCACCCACAACGCATCTCCATCTCGACACCTCCGAGCATCGCTGAAGCGCAAGAGTGACTAATCTCATGCCCGGGCCCCAGTTTCCCACGATGTGGTTTGCTTGATCAGTCCCGGGTGTGCGAGGCCCGAGGCACCTCGCCGGAGCCTTCCACGACTCTCAGTGGCCAGACTGCAGTGAGCCGTGGCCATTGATGTTAGTGCCTGACGATGTCGAGACTACCTTTCAGAGAGGGCCGGTTGAACTCGACGGAGGCTCACAGACTGCTCAGCCTCAGGATACAGCGTGATTGTGGATCCCAACCCCCCGCCACCGCCGCCTCCCTAATTTCAAACCATACTCCTGATGGAGTTGATTTCGGCACATTTGAGTCACAGTTTCCAGTGATACATTCAAGACTACCCACTTTCTCCAGACATTTCAGCTTCACTCTCTTCTTCCGCTCGTTCACGCAGATTTACTTGCTCGCTCACTCCGCTCGCTGCTTCAGTCCACCTGCAGACTCACGCCACACTCCATCTCACTCGTTTACTCGCAAAGGCACTCCTGCCAAAATGTCACCAGCTCACCGACTCATTGCTTACTCCCTTTGGGACTTCCCGAGACTCAGGGAGTCGGGTATCTTTCCTGATAAGCCTTAGCCTGAGCTTTGGTTTGTTCCCTCGGCAAAGTCCTATGTACCCTGATGGTCGCTCCTTGCATCTTTTCGCTCCCCTCTGCTCCCGAATTGTTCAGGTCGTAATCAAGTTGTCCGAGGACACAGTCGCAAACAACGCCTGCCTGCATCGGAAGTATAGAGTATAGCAGAGACTTGTGAATTCAAGCCCGATTAGGCGGAACAATCAATGATACGTAGATATATCTCTTGGCTGCAATAGGCAGCAGAAGAAGCTTGCATCCAGACTCTGTACAGTTTTGGCACGTGTCAATTCATCCTTTCAGTAGAGACTGCCACATGGTTCATTGCCTGAAGCTCTGCGTTCAAAGTGCTTGCTTGCCACTCCGACCGTCTTGCAGTTGGTAGAAGGTGGTGTCAGAACTGCATTCTTTATCCTGTGTTTGCATGCTGCTCAGATCAAATTTGAGCACTCTGTTTGGACGACCTGCCGCTGTGCTGTGCTTTAACCGCCAGAGCCAAGTAGCGATCCGGTAGAAGACCCTGCACTGGTTGCTTTCCGTCGCCCCGGGTTGGTTTCTCAGAGCTTTGTGCGCACGAGTTCGTGTCAGGCCCCTTGCACTACTATACGTACGGTTTTGGTGCCTCCGCAGCCTGTGTAGATCCAGTGGAAGATTGGTTTGCTTTGGACGTCTGATTTCGGATCTCAGCGGCGTCACACCTCATCAGCACCTCCGAGAGCATCGAAGGTGAAGACGCACTGCCATGGCGGATAAGTCCGAAAATCCAATGCGCCAAATCCGTGTGGAGAAACTGGTCTTGAACATCAGTGTCGGCGAGAGTGGAGATCGTCTCACGCGAGCTGCGAAGGTGCTCGAGCAATTGACAGAGCAGCAGCCAGTGTTTTCCAAGGCTCGTATGACCATCAGGCAGTGGAGCGTCCGCCGGAATGAGAAGATCGCTTGCCACGTGACCGTGCGTGGTGAGAAAGCGGAGGAGATTCTTGAGAAGGGCTTGAAAGTGAAAGAGTACGAGCTTCGCAAGAAGAATTTCGCTGGGAATGGCAGCTTCGGGTTTGGCATCACGGAGCACATCGACCTGGGCATTAAGTACGACCCTGGTACCGGCATCTACGGCATGGACTTCTACGTTCATCTCTCCCGGCCCGGCGGCCGCGTGCAGTACCGAAAGTTGCGACGCGGGAGGGTAGGATCGTCTCACCGACTGAGGAAGGAGGATGGGATGAAGTGGTTTCAGACCAAATACGACGGCATCCTCCTGAACTGAGAGGCGGCGTTTTATTTTTGGATTAGCTGCAAACTCAGCAGACGTCACGCACGTCTGAGGCAGAAGATTCAGGATAGCTGCTTTCAAGCCCATGAACTTTCGGCAGAACTGCTTGAGGTTAAATTGAAACGTGCAAGCTTTGCCTTGGCATTGCCGAACAGCTTGCTGCTGCGAAACTCTGTGTTTTCGTGGTCCCGCCCAGGATCTTGGATGTCTGAGCCGTGGCCAAGTTCCCACCTGCGGAGCGATAGTAATCTACCAGATGGAAAAATGTGCAGTGGGCAAGGGCTTTGTTTGATGTTTGAAAGGATTTGCCTGTTCATGTGCAAATTCCCCTGACGGGAGGCTGCGTGCGGCAATCACCGCTGCCAAGCGAGCAGAAGTGTTGGAATCGGAACTTGCAGGTAACGGACAGCACTAGTGTGCTGCAACGCACGAGACGCAACGAATGGCGTGCTGCTAGGTGCCAGAGAGGCCCTGCGGTCTTTGGAGCTGCAGGCATCCTGGTGCCCGATCGTTGAAGGGTGGGATTGGTGCAGAGATGTCTTGTGGTGCAGGCTGACGTCAGGCGAAGCATCGAGGCCGGAAAGTCGATCCAGCTGACGTTATTTTGAGGCGAATTCACCGGGCAGGCAGCTGTGACTGCAAAAGACGTGGAGCTTCTGAGGCCTTGCAAACTTCGCCGTCGGGCAAATAGGAGCAGTTGCTTGGGTTGTCACAAGGAGATGCATCGAGGATGGGAAGCAAGCCGGTCTGAACCGGCAGGAGGTGCGCATGGCAGTGATTACCTCTGGCACAAACGCATTGTGAATCTTTTCTAGTCCTCTTGTCAGGTGGCCCGGGCACAAAAGCATCTCCAGAAGCTTGGACAGTCAAGCGTTGGGCGCGAACTTGCCGAGGCACCGGAAGCCAATCCCGTCACTTTGGATGCCGCAACACGAGAGCCAAGATCCCTCAAAACCCCTACACCGGAAGATCCCAGACTCCAGAAGAGCAGAGCGCACACTTGGGGTCCAAATCAAGGTCTTTTACGTCGAGTGCCAACGCTGGCTTTTCTGCGTCGCCAGAGGGATCTTGTTGAGAGAAACGGCTGGGCAAACCAAGAGATAAGTGTCTTATAGCCGCAGAGTATCCTTCTTGTTACTCGACCTTGGCACATTGAAATCCAAGTACGAAGTGCAGAAGAGTCTGTCTTGTTACTCCTCCCTCCCCTCGCCGAAATTCTTGTCGTTGTGTACAACTCTTGTCTGTGGTGGTGACTGAAACTTGTCTGTGTTGGCAAGGTTCTCGGCTTGGGCCGTCAGCTCTGGTGATCCTGGATTAAAGCCACACGCGCATGTCAGAGGACTCCCAAATTTACGTGCTTGCAAGGTTCATCCAAGGCAATTGTCATCAATTGCATGGATAGGGACTGGCTTGGTTTTCCCCTTGTGTTCTGCAAGACACGCTTCTAAAGATTTCCTCGTTCGGTTCTGCCCCTGATGATCCGAAGGTTGCGCACTCTTGGCATGTCAGTCGAGTCGGGTTAGGCAAACAACTTCATAGGTAGGACAGAATGCTTCGCTGGACATCAGGCGCTCACAACGGCACGCTGATCTTGCGAGCGATACCATCAGAGCTCTATCAGACAGTTCGATCGCAGCAGGCCACAAGCAAAACTAGGCATGGAGATCTAGAGGAAGGGGCTGCGGGAGGGGGGGGGGGGAGGGGGCCCGAGTGCAAGGATAGGACAAGAAACACCTAGATGCTTCGTCATGGCAGGCTTGTATGAGTGCCCGACACGTTGTGAACTGCTCTACCCACCCCAACCGGCCCTCCTGGCTGGGGACGACGCGGCACCCCCCTCCACTCTAGTCCCTCTCCCTCAGGTTCCCCCGTCCCCCTACATTCGCCTTCCTCTAGCTGCCCTAGCTTTCATGGCCCTTTTTGCAAGTATTCTGAACCGTTGCACATCGTTTCAGAAGGAAGCGTCGTGGTTCGACCCAAATAGCAGCTGAATAGCACAGAACCAGAGGGCTGGGTGAACTGCTGCACAGCCACTGATGCCGACTCTGCAGGCGCTGCAGACAGGTGACGCTGTGCGTTTGCGGGCCGCCGCCCGGGCGGCCACAGCTACAGCCTCATTCGCCAGCTCACGGCTCGTCGTGTCCGCTTGGGTGGGCCGAAGCAAGGATGCCGGCATGACTGGCGCGGAGGCATAGACGTGCAGCAGAAAAGACGAATGTCCGTGAACCTTTGTGAAGCTGCCCAAAGTGTTCGCTCGACAGGTGGAGTCCGCATGGCATCGGCTTCGAGAGTTGGAGTCTCACAGCTGGCTGAGGTGCCCCTTGAGTGACAGAAGCAGACCAGCGCGGCCTCTACGAAATGACAGGCAGCAGCTTGATGGTGCTCTCGCCAGCAACGACGCCGTCCGGTTACAGGCGGTCCTTTGAATTGAGGGTGACCGTGCAGAAGCGGTGCTCGGGGGCTCGGTGAGGCGGCCATCAAGCAAGCAGAACTCGGAGGCGGGGCCTTGGCCCAGCTGAGAATCTGAGAACTTCAGCAAATTTCCTGTTTTTGGTAGAGGTCTTGGCCCGCCAGAGCTTTCCGCGGCCAAGCGGAGCGGAGCACAGATGCTCTAAATTCTTGTCACCATGTCTGCTCCAGATAATGCGATAGCTGAGGCATCTGGACGCCCTGAACGCTCGTCTTCACGCGCGCCAGGACGCGTTAGGATGCAAGAGAAGGGCTCTTCTGAGACTCCCGCCTGCTCTCGTTCTCGCGATTTTCGTCGTAGGAGCTGCATCTGGCTCGGACCAGCGGGCCCTGGCCTCGAGAGGCGGCACGGAAGTCTTTCGGCACTGTTCCAATCGCAGGAATCCGTATGCCCTCCTCGCTGCAGTACGTCAGGGACAGGAGGCTTCCAGATTCCGCGACTGTTCAGAAGGAGGCTGAACATGAATGATTTCAGGCTGGTCTACCCCAGCACGAGCTTGAAGTCGCAAGGTTCCGGAGCCCAGCAAATGCAAGTATACCGCTCGTTTTCGAAGATGGCGTTTGCCAGGCGATCTGCCGAAGCCTTTTCGGGTTTCGACACTGGGCCAGATACCGTGCCGCAGCTGTCAGCACCTCCAACTCAGCCTCAAGTGCAAACTGCGGAACGCCTGGAGCCTCCGACTATGCCTCCAACTATTCTGGGAAGCTTGTACCCGCCACCTTCTCAGTGTCAACAATGTGGTGACGTTGGCGACCCTGGGTTCTACCAGCTGCAGCAAATCCAGCAGCCTGCAAGACCGGGTGTCCAAAGACAGCAGCCGCCAGCTCAGTGAACTACACTTAATGAGTGAGGCTGTGGTTGGCAGCTTCCTCGACCCCATTTCACGGAAACTGGCATCGTGTTGAGGTCATGGCCACCAATTCAGCCTGTTCCAGATGCCCTGGGCTGAATCCAAAGGATTTTTTGTCATGACTGCTGTAGCTGTTTCTGTGCCACTAAGTCTCCATTGTCGGTTGGCGTGCTGACACCTTTCGCCAACTCGCCTGCCAAGCAGGTGCGGCAGTGTGTAGAGTGTAGACGAGCCACAGGGAGATGAAGCATGGGTCAAACATGCTGAATCTGAGAGTATGCCGCTATGCCACGGTGTGCAGTGGGCAACCTGCAGACTGCAAACAGTGACGCCTGACTCGTCCGGATTCAGGTGCCGACGCCGCATTGGACTGCGATCTGAGTCTGTCACAGCTACTCCGACGAAAATTCGAACAACGCGCAGTGAATGTACAGTTTGCCTTCCGTTTTGAAGTCTGCGACAGTCCATCGACCATGCAGATGCCAGACTTTTCAACAGATGCCACAAGCGTAGTGATAATGTCCACCTGCAACAATTCGAGCAAGGATTGCTGTGCGATCCGAGCAAAATTATGTTCCAGGTGGACGAGTCGTGTTCTCACGTCGCCGAAGTTTGTGTCCGTGTGAGTTTTCGGGCGAGGGCATTTTTGGCGTCTTGCTTCGGTTCGTTTTTGGCTCTCGCCACAGTCGTTCCATTTAGCTTGTGCATTTCCAGGTCGCTGCTTGGCGCTCGGTCGTTTCACCAGTGGCAGGAATTGAAAAGTCTCTCCCTGAGACAGGCTGGTCTGTGGAACGCGACTTCATGGCCATTCCGATGCAGCCGGCCAAGCAGCGGAGTGAAGACTGGTACGTTCATGTATGCAGGCCAGCGGATGCACCTGACTGGCAGTTGGTCTGAGGTGCTAGTCTGTGCGGGGCGTCTGCAAGACTACAACACTTGGCACGACCAGTGCCAGTCCTGGCAATTTCCTAGCGCCGCAGAGGTGCGCACTTTGAAAGTCCATGTGTCTTTGGAAGCGTGAGATAATCTTGCCAGTGGCACTTTGTTGTTTCAGTGAGAACGCCTCGCCTCAATTGCCTCTCTCTCTGACCTGCTTATCTTGTCATTTGTTGTCTTCCCCTCGCTCCTCCTTCATATTTTTCTCTTGCAATCTTACAGCTTGGACTCCGGCCGTGTCTGTTTGCTTTCACGTGGCGTGTGGGAGTGCGCATTGCTCGCGCGTGAATAATGCATAGAGACCCGAGCCGACAGGCCTTCTTTGCAACCATGGGCGGCTACTGCCTCAGTTAGAATCCATGCCGGCTGATCTTTGCATGCTCGTTCAATCGTCCTTGCGACCTGTTTGCCGCTGAGGATGTTGCTGCAAGGGTCTGTCTAGATCTACGGCCTTGCAACCTGAGCAACCCTTCGACCACAAGGCACGGAGGCTCTGAACTTGTAAAGCCCTGCAGATGTCGATGTAACGTCTGCCCAGGTGTATTATGAGAGCTTCACACGTCTGGACCTGAATAATTGTTGCGAGAGCCGAACAACGGAGATCGCTGCCTGTGCATCTGAGGACAGGACAGGGTCAAGGTCTGGGAATCTGTTTTAAAGGAAGGAGGCACCGTTGCTGCAGCACGATTTGGCCCCTTCCGCAATTCTGCCAATTGCTAGGGCAAGAGATCATGCGCTTCAACGAGGTTGAGGACTGCCCAAGCTTGAGCAGTTGCCGGTCCAGCTTAAACATAGAATGATGCAGGACGTCCGGGTGTATAACACTGGGTCGGCTGACTACACCAGAGTTGGCGCTGAAAGCTTAGATAGTGTCGCAGCAGCTAATGCCGGCGGTCGGATTGTCTTCCTGTTGGTGGGGCAGTGGTGGTAGTAGGTAGTGATCGTCGTCGTCGTCGTAGTAGTAGTAGTCGTCGTCGTAGTCGCAGGGGCAGTGGCAATGGCAGAGGCGGTGGCAGTGGCAGTAGCACCCAGTACAAGTGGGCCGCACAATTATGTCAGCGCAGAGCTTTTGAAAAGTCGCTCTTCAGAGCGAAGAACCTGTGGCTGGGGCTGACATCCTTTCGCGTAGATTCAGATAGATCTAGTCCCGGGAACTGGTGAAAGAGCTGAGGTCTTGGTTCTTACCGAGCTGTATTTGTGGTGAGCTCAGCCTTGTTCTCGAAGCGCTGAGCCAAGCGGCCATTGGGCAGAAACTGTGAGGTGGTGGCATGCTCCTCCTACCTCCCCAAGCCCCGGAGCAGGGCAGCCAAAGACCTCCAAGCGCGCAAGGAAGGGGCCCTAGCACAGCCACTTGAGAGAATTCCTCAGCCAAGATGCAGGCGGCTGGCTGGGAGTGCCATCGTAATTGGCTATGGCATGATAGAGGAGGCCCAACTCAGATGCGCAACTTCGGTTGGGCGTACGCCTTTAGTCTGGGGAGCCGCAGGTGCTAAGTTTCCAGTTATGCACACCCTTCACACTTTAATGCCAGGTGGGCATCGTTTGTTTTGATGCTGGTGGATGTGCCGTCCGCATCGTGGCCAGAGAGGCTTGACTTTTCAAAGGTGAGGGCTTCGTTCGGCAGTTCGGCAGCTCGCGGCAGGGTGCGAGATCTTGCAAGGGGTCTTCTGCAGAAAGTGCGACGTGCCGTCGTGAACGATCAGTCGTACTCGTGTCAGTAATGGGTGGCTCGAACCGACCCCACATGCTCGCACAGAAGTTGCTCAAACTCGCTAGGATAACAGCGTTCAAGCTTCATGCCGTTGAGGAATGCGTGCAGCGTTTGCTCATCTGATGTCTTCTGTTGCTGCTCGCAGGTCCATGCACAAGGTTTAAATAGGCTGAGAGCGCGAACTGCTCGATTGGACCCCCGGCAAACGGATAGAGTATGATTGGGTCGCAGGTGCTGTAGACGTATTTATCTCGCGAGGCGGTAGACGTGAAGAGGTTGGGTACGTGCGGAGTTTTGTGTTGTTCTGTGCGTGTGTTTCTGTGTTAGCAAGCAAATAAATTTGCTGCTCAACCACGCAGCCCACACCTGTCCTACGGTGGATGATATACATCCTGCATGAGTTTATAAGACACAGTCCGCTCCCCTCGAACCGCTGAATTTTAATATTAATATTGTCGAAAGCAGACGTGCGCGAATCGGACCGCGCGAATGACATAAATCCTGCATGACCTCTCCCCTAACAGGGGTGCGGGGAGAGAATGACTCTTTGGACGGTTCAAATTTGGGCTGTGTCAAAGTCATGCGTGATTTCATTTCTATCATCAACAGCAGTAGTCTCACAGCCCAGCCGGCCCAGCCTCAGTAAGCGCGAGCGTGGAGGATCTTCGGCACAGAACGCGCATGTAGAGACTCGGCCAGGCTTACGGCGATCAGTTCGAGATGATTCTCCAGGTCCTGCAGCCAGCGGAGACGGTTCCGGCGTTCACCACAGCCATTCCGGAGGACCGAGTCCGAGTTGCATCCTTTTGACACTTAGCTGGCAGCAGCGAGGAATCGGGCCCGGAGGGAAGCGAAGCATGGCATCAGGCCGAGACCGCCACGTGCTGTGCTCGCTTCGACTCGGAACATCCGGTGTCCCGTGCAGACACTGGCGAGTTTCCTGGACAAAGCGTTGAAGGTCGCAGAACCCAGAAACCCAGATTGAAGCTAGTCTCACAACTTGACTTAGTGACTTGTGTTGCTGAGGCTTACAACTGGGCACATTACTTTCTGCACTGCGCCCTCCGCCAGTCCTTTTCTAAGATCATCAGATGAAAAGGAGGGCTCGCAAGAATAACAGGAGCATTGCAGTCCCCATGAGGCGAGACTTGTTCGCCCACAAGGGAGTGAGCCAGCCCGAGCTGAATCTCCTCCCAAATGAAGAGGCACGTTGTGATAGGTTGTGATATAGGAGTTCGAGTTATGCTACCAGTCTACAAGGAATCTGAGATTGCTTTGGTTTTGGGCGCAGGTCGCAGAGACCTACCACGGAATCTTGAACTTCGGGGCCTCCCAAGAGGCAAGATTCTGGAAGTTTCAAGGCGATCGAGTGCGCTCCTCTCCAGGACCTTGTTGGTCACTTGATCGTCACCAACATTCGAGTGGCGCTGGCCTTATGCAAACTCCATGCGGAGATATGCCTATGCTTTTGAATGCATCGCAGACTCCTGCATCTGCTGCTAGATCTGGGCCCTCGATCGAGACCGAATGACGTACAACGTCAGCGTGCCGCACAGGGCACACGTAGGAAGCTTAGACTGCATCTAGCAGCAGTAGCATGGCTCGAGTCCTGAGCGAGCAGCGAAGAAAGTGAGAGGTCCCTTCATTGACGGACACGCAGACGTTCGGGTGCCTCGCTCAGCGTCGGTAGCCTTCGTTACTCACCCTGAGCCTGAGCCTGAGCCTGAGCGTTTGCTGCGTGTCTTTGAGGCTTTGCTTGGTGCTTCACATCACACAGCCCTTCCTGAACAATCCCGACCACTTCGGCGGTATGCGCCTGGGCTTCGGCGCCGCTGAGATGAAGGAGCGAGCCGAGTTGCCGGCGCCGGAAAGACCTGAGATTTTGCTCAAACACTTTCGAGCTCGCTTCGTGCGCACAGGGCGAAGAGCGCCGGAGGCGACTGGAGAAGATCCTGGCCCACATCGTGGAGATGCAAGGCGCTTGTGCTTGTGCGTGATGGTGCTGGCGCGCTTCAGACGGAGGCATCCCGTGCCCCTGACACCGAGTGAAGAAACTCCTCGATAGACCCGAGAAGCCGAGATTAACAACGGAAGTTTAAGCCACTTTTTGCATGGAGGACGCGCGGGAAAGATCATGCAAAGATCCGAAGATGAAAACGAAGCAATGCAAGAGCCTTCGAAAGGAGCAACATGAGTGCATAGCATGCTGGTGCCTCCAGGCTTGATGTGCCTGCGCATGAACCTACACTGCTTGAGCAATCACAGTGCCGAATGTTTGACGCATCGTGCGACTTTGCAGATTTTGGATCGCGCATACAGGGAAAGCTGCAGAGCATCCTCTAGCTTGACTCATAGAGCTTTGAAGCAGGCTGAGCTGACCGCTTCTGTCTGCAGGTAAGTACATGCCGGATCCGCGGTGCGCCTTCGGATGTGCATGGTGTGACAGTCTTGCGAAGCAAACATCTTGCATGTAACGTGTAATATGGCGAGAACGACATCTGGCGCAGATGTGCCGCTTTACGTACTTGACCACGAATACGCTCCTGTGTTGATCCACTCAGGTATGGTGTTGCCGACTACATGCGAAATCGTCGCCAGTACCAGGCACAGATTGCACACAATGGACCATCGCACGCAATGCGCTGGACACACAGCGAGCACAGGTGGAGTCCAATGTACGACTGCTTCATGCTCGCCGCCAAAGCAAGTTCTACGTCTCACGACAGAGAGAGGTTCGGCCTGAGTTCGGCAACTGAGGCGCTCAGCCATCTTGATACGCTCAGTGAGAACACAAGGTGCCGGACTCGGCCACCATGTAGGGCCGTGAGAGCCTTGATGCCTTGAGGCCAGACAGCATTGAGGCGAGCCTCCAAGGCGAAGTCAGTGAGTGTGTCATCTGCCTGGAGCAGGCGGGCGGAAATCCGCACGTCTCAGTGCCTCCGTCGTTTTCGCTGTTTTTTCAGGTTTGCAGTGGGTCCCGCCTTGCTTACCTGCTTGCAGCCGGCAAGCTGGGCTGGGCGCCACTCACTCGTTCGCGGTTTTCGCTCCAGCGCTCCCAGCCTGCCCAGCTGATGCCAGGCGTGCCGACACATCTTCCACTTAGAGTGTGCGCAACAGTTGGCGTCGCGCAAGTGTCCAGTCTGTCGCGAGCTGTGAGTACAGAGTTCTGCAGTGTGAGTGTGTCAAGGGGAAACATGTCGTTGATATTGGCTACCGAGGCCGGGCATGCTTCAGTGAGGTGCGGGAGATGCCCGACATACGTCACAGTTGCCGCCCTATACAACGCGATGTATGCATCTTTCCTCTTGAAAAGCCTCATTTTCGCAAAGTGCACTCTCTTGCCTCAGATCCTGGTGCCTGGTTTGATGCTATGGATATTGACCGCACTGGAGATCTGGACATCGAAGAGGCTTCCAAATGCAGTGCTTCCGCTTCTTGAAGGGACCCTCTGTCACAGATGAGTTTATCAGAAGGAGATCAGACTCAACTCTTTGTCTTTCCGTAGGTGCTCGGGGCACTGGCCCGGAGCTTAGCTTCTTTTTTTTGGCCCTCTCCTGTCCTGGGTACCGGCTTCCGGTAAAGAGAACCGTCTGGAAGCATTGGCCGGGTCTGTGGGACTTCACATGGACGCCATGGCAAAAAGAAGCGCTGTGAACCAGCCGACGCACGCCCGGGACGTTCCGTGATCTTGTGTCGGCTGTTTCCAGCTGATCCACTCCGCTGTGGTTTGTTCAGAAATAATTCTGTGGCCTGAGTCCGTCGTGCTTCCCATCGACCGCGAAAAGCTGGAGACTCTTCTCAAACCGGACGACAACCACTTGCCGCAGGTTCGAAAATGCAAAGCAGAGAGAGGGAGAGAGAGAGAGAGAGTAACTCTCCACTGAAGCAGCGTTTGCAGGATGAAGCATCAAAGTGCAAGGGAGTGAACGATGCAGTCGCACAAGAAAGTGAGAGCCTTGGGAGCCTCCACCCACTGCTGATGCAGTTTCGGTCTCGCCAGCTTTTGTAGAGTCTTTCAGGTGAGAACACTCAACCCACTGTCTTGGATGACGAGATGATTCAAATCAGTGCCAGAAGCACAGTCTGCCCAATAGCTGCCTCGGATGAGATCGCTCACATGAACTTCCACACTGGACAAGGATTCTCCCCTTCCAGCTGCCGAGATGCAGTCGTCCGAGCTCTGGCGCCAGTGGGACAAAGAAGGACGGGCAGGGACCGGCCAAGATTCAGCCATACTGCGGATGGAATGACTGTTCAATAGATGTGCAAACACGTTAACATTACGCCATTGCGCTACATACTCCCAGGAGTATTTCTAGGCCATGCACGGCTTCTTCTGGATACTGTGGAGTTATACTCCTGCGCACTAAACATGCCCACCTTTGACTTTGGCCGTTTGTGTCGTCAGATGTCGGTTCACATCGGTTGACCCTCAGTTTCCACGATTATCATCAGAAGGCATGAAGGTTCAAGCTCCTTCTGAGCGCCTGCAGGGAGTAACCGACCGAGACCGTTATCTTGACGCAGGTACCGGCCGAATCACCCGAAAGGCCTTCGAGGTTGTCACTGCCTGTTCAGAAGCATTTTCTCACTCTTGTTTTTTCAGCGTCTTTGCACGTTTCCCAGGATCCAGACGGTGGACTCTTGGCCTCCGGCTCAAGGGGGAGAGGGGAAAGCCTAAGCCGCGCAGAGGAGCTGCACTGTAGGTCTGGATTCTCGCTCGTCTGAAGCTCGTCCACCGTGGTCAGAGACCTCAACCTTGCCGGAAGCCTCAGAAAGGGCGGAAAGGGCGCCGCTGGGCCGGGCGCTCCTCGCGACCGCTCCGCCCTCGCGTTTGCTCCGAGGCCTGGCAGCGGCCGCGAGCTCTGAGGCGCTTGGCCGGCAGGGGACTCGCAGAGAGAGACGGACCGCCGCGGCAACTTTGTCGGGGTGCCGCCTCTTTTTGTCTGTGCACCTTTCTTTTCTTAGGTGGTTCGACTTCTGGGACTGGAGTCAGGCAGGTGACTCGGGAGCCCATCCTCATTCAATCTCGCTTCGATATTGCAGGTGGGCTTTCTGACCCGCGGGCAGATCACGCGCGCGGTAGCAAAAGAGTTCGAAGGCTTCGCGCTGTGTCGATCTTGAGAAGACATCCATCGGGTGTGCTGCCAGGCCGCCTGGCCGACATGAGATGTCTGGACTTGGTGCAAGAGGTGTGGAGGTCAATTACCGAGGCACCGCGCGCCTGTGGCTGCTTTTCATGTTCCATGTTGCAGATCAGACCATGTGGTCAGGAGGCGATGTCAAAGCCAGTGACTCCTCGCTCAACAGCTTGAACCTGAGCTCGCATGCAAGTTGTTCTTAGAGTCGAGGGCACAAGATTGAGTCTCTTCAGGTTCCGACACCATCTCATGTTCCAGACGAAGAACCAGGTAGTCCTACTTCAGGACTGCGCCGAGATTGCCAGTACCTAGTGGTGAAGAACGTCACTTTCGGTGATGTCACGAGTGGAAGGACACAAAAGCCAGGATCATCTTGTTCTGGCCTATCCCGATCCCTGGAATTTGCGAGAAGGCAGATCTGTGTCGACAGGACATCACACGCCTGCTGTGAGTGAGACTTGCCGTGACTTGCCATGCAAGATACGATGTACATGCCGATGCCTTTTGGTTCTTTATGGATACGGCCGAGTGACGGCCTTGAGAGAGCATGGTGGATTTATCTCATTGTTATTTGCACAAGCTGGGCGATACTGAGCGGGCTTTGCTGGCCGAGCTTCGTGGGCGGGTGCCATCTCTGGTGGCCAAAGCGCGTGAAACATCGGAGGATGCGAAGACTGCCGACCGACTCACAATCTGGGGCGTGGACCTCGAGAAAGACTGTGAGGCCTCTGACATCATTCTTCTCAAGTACATCCGTGCAGAGGAGCTGAACCTAGACAAGGCAGCTGATCGCATCGTCGAGACATTAGTCTTCAGAGCTGACTGCAAAATTGACGGGCTCAGGGATGCAGTTCTGCCGGACTGCTATCAGGGCCATGACGTCATAAGTGGCCTAGATGTGGAAGGCAGGCCAGTGATGATCAGCCGATTTGGCCAGATGGACTTAGAGAAAGTCTTTGGCGACATCGAAGCATTTGTGAGATATCGTGCGAAGCTGATGGAAGAGGCAATGTCTAAGATCTCTTTCAAGAAGGGCGAGCCCGAGGAGTTGACTCAGGTCCACGACTACTCAGGTGTGCCGCTAATCTTTCAGACGTCGCAGGTGAAGGATGCAGTTTCCGCTGTCACGAAAGTGTTCGCCGATCATTACCCAGAGACGAAGGGCAAGACTATCTTCGTTAATTTTCCGACTGCTTTCGCAAAGCTTTTCAAGGCGTTTTCCATATTCATCCCAGAGAGGACGCTTAAAAAGTTTCAGATCTTGGGTGAAAACGACCATGCACAACTCTTTGAGACCATCCCGGCCGACAAGGTCCCCGTAGGCCTTGGAGGCATGCATCGGGAAGGTGCACTAGCAGGCCCTTGCCAAGTCGTCCAAGTACGCGCTCGTTGCACGGAAGAGGTGGCCCTTCTAAGGGCAGAGGGGCCTTGCACTTTGGACTGGGAGCTGCGAGTCTGCTACTGGGACATCTCATATGAGCTCTGGTTCGTTGCAGATGGAGCTTCACCCGAGTTGGTTCAGAAATCCGATGGTTTGGTGCAGGCGACCGAGGGTGTCGTAAGCGGACAATATACAGCAAAAGCAGCAGGTGAGTTGAGGTGTCACTTCGTCAACAACGGAGCCTGGTTCAAGTCTCGGCTCTGTGTGGCCCGAGCGCAACTTCACAAGTGAGCCTGCGCCGTGTTAGGCTTCTTGGGGGCTCCGCTGAACCGTGCCAAGCACAGACGGTGACACCGAGCCACCAGTTTTCGATCCCTGCTCCAGTCCGCTGGTCCGGACGGATGCACTCGTCACGTAAAGACTTTTTGAGAGTGGTGGCGAAATCAGTGCTACGGCAGAGTTTTCCGTCCTTGTGCAGTCAGGCCTGGGTTCCTGCCTCGTCCCTGCAGGCATCTGCTCTCGCGGTGATTTCTTGGAGTCAGGACGGGCCCTTTGGGAAGTCTTCCCCGACTCCTTTCTTCTAGGCCTCGTCCCCGCCGAGGCCTTGGCTCTGCGCTGCGACTGAAGCTCCTGGATGCCTGGTGCTCAGAATGAGAAGCGGGCAACCCCGGGCAACCGCAGAAGGTCAGGACACTCATAGTCTTATAGTGCCATGTTCATTGTGGCTTGCACCAAACTTTTCTCTTCACGCCTGAACCGGCCGCTGTGGAATGCTTCCACTTCTCAGCTAGAGATGCCTGGGTTGCTTTCAACCGAAACCTGGATCTCTCAACTCTAAAGGCAATTCCGACTGCCAAGGTCACGGCACAGAGGTCAGCTGCAGGTCGCCATCGGCAGATGCCAGGGACCCATATGCGGTCTTGTGTGCTGAAGTCGACATGAGCTCTGCAGCATTGAAGCTGCCACGAATTGTCCTTGGGCATCATGCTCTGTAGTGACTGTAGGTCGAAGGAGATGCACAAGATGTTCAGCTTCGAGGAAGCCTTGGTCCGCCACTGAAGCATGCGGAGCGAACGCTTGCATTCTGGAGACGTTCGCGATTGCTTTTGTTGTCTGCATGAAACGGGGTGATGCTTTTCTGCCGTCGGTGTGCACTTGTTTGATCAGCTACTTATACAATGCCATCGATGATGAACTAAGGGAGCAGGAGGAGCTGGTATGGCCGGTATGGCCAAACAGCAGTTTGCACCTCGGTACCTGACGGCCCCTGCCTTGTCGCGCACTTGCACCCTTGGACAGGTTTTTCCTTGGCTTGACAGATTGTGCCTGCAACAACAAGCGTATGCCTGCTGCCTTCTCAGTTCGCTTTGTGCTGTGCTCGTGGCAGATGTGCAAGTGAGTCCGAGTGTTGTCAGGGTGAGCCCGAGCCGCGCACGGTTCGCCCGCGGCTCAGAGAGCTATGGGCATGCTCAATTTGCTCAATTGCGAGTGTGGAGCCCGGAGGTCTTTCACAGAGCGCTCTCTCCATTGAGGGCTCGTCGTGCGCCGCACTGAGTTCGTCCTCCATGAACAGCAGCGCACCATGCCATTTGGCAGCCGCCTACCTGCTGAGGCAACATGTGTGTTGCTTGATCGGAATCCAACGCGAGCACCTGCACAGACAAAACCGTGCAGGCAAGCACAGACAAAGCTGTGCAAGTTGTGGAGCAGCTTGCAGCTCCTGTCAAAACGACACGGCTGGTAGCTGCACGTCTCCCCAGGAATTCTTTACTCTAGCCACGGAGATGCGGTGAGCACTCTGTGCCGAGCCTCTTTTTGTGTCTTACATCTTGCGCTCCAAGAGCTGCAGTTGCGAAGACATAACTGGCCCAAGCCAGACACTCTAGTCTAGGAGATAGGAGATGATGGGAGCAGGGGAGCAGTGCGCGTGTTTCTTGACAGAAAGCCACAGGCATTGCTGTAGCAGATGTGCTCTGGTGCAGCATGCTTACCATGCCGGCGTTTCGACACTACACTGCTGGGTTTGCCAATCCGAAGACTTGTGCGAGGCCTTGACACTTGCAGCATTATGATCTCTGTGCATTCGCAAGTGGGTCCTCATGGACAGCACAGCCAGTGGCAAACCTGTCTATGGTAAGCCAAGCCAGCAGAAGAACCTCAAGATTCACCCTTCAAGCTCGATGCTGGCATGGCGCTGCCTGCTTCCTCATCTCTCATGAAGAGCCACTGCCGATCATGCGACGCAGAGGGGAGGAGCTCCGGGATAGCCTTGGTCGCACGTGGGCAGGGTCGAAAGCTGCACTCTTGAAAGCAGGATACCAAGCAGCCTGGGAAGGCCCCAAGTGCCATCTGACCGGATACAGCAAGTCAATGGCAGTCAATGACTTCGGGGCGTGCGATGCATGCGGCTCCCTAAGGCAGATGAATGCCTGGAAGGCTTGAGCCTGGTCGAATCGAAGCTACTCGGTGGGAGCCGATACAAAGCATCGCTGCGAGGTGTGAGTTCCACCACAAGCAGCTCCTTGCAGACCTTCGTCAGGTCACATCCTTTGCTTCTGCCTTTACACTCGTTTCATTCTGAAGCATGCGCCGTTTTGCTGCAGGACGCTGGCGCACCCTCAGGCACAAACGGATGCATGCTCAAGAGCTGTGCTGCCCGGCGAGGGATGTTGCCATCAACTCTTCCTTCCCGTTTTGCCAGCGCTCCGCGGTGCTGGTGCTGGCACTGAGCTTGGTCGCGGCCTGGGCCTCAATGCACGCAGGCCGCACAGGCAATCCCAGTCCGTAGGGATCGCTTCAAAGAGGTGGGTATCCAAACCTGGGATGAGGCAGGTCTGTGCCTGGCTATCCAAGAAATTGGGCATGCTATTCAGAGCTGCAAGGACGTGGTGCTGAGCAGACTCCTGGTACTAATCGGCCTTTTCATTGCTCCTGCTGCGATGGGGTCGGCTCCTGAGCGCTGCCGCGTTCCGTTTCCGTTGGCCATAGCAATTGGATAGCGGGTTCCGAGGCGCTTGCCACCTCCTTCGGAAGTTTTCTTCAGGGAAGATATGGAGGGGGAGAGGCTGCATCCAAGTGCCTTCCGTCGTTCCTCATCCACCTGCTGTTGCTTCCTTTTCCAGATGTTTCCAGGCTCGTCGCACCTGCAAGCGTGCAGGCGGGCACGGAGAGGGACGGGATGGATCAATGAAGGAACAGCAGCCAACTCCGCAAGTGCAACAGGCTCCCGAGGCCATGACGATGGCCGGAAGCCCAGCGGTCGTCGTCGTTGTCGTGCATTCACAAAGCCACTTCCCTTTCCGGTGCTGCCCCTAAGGATGCAGGATGCATTGCCTGATCTCTGCCTGTGACACGAAGCCAAAGATGGGTCTCCGAACGGAGACTCAGAATCGATTGCACGCTGTGGGGACATGAGGGTGGAGTCCCAGAGCGCCGCCATGCACCCGTGGCCAAAAAGAGAGCGCTGCAGTCGGCGTTGCTGGAAGTACAACCCGATTACATTCTTAAGTACAATCTTGAGCAAAGAGCTTCAGCATGAAGGTCGCGGGGTTGGTATTGTCAAGTTATTCTCTGCTCTCAGGTGTTGTGTGGTAGCACTGCATCATCGGATTTGACATGGGCAGCTGTATGAGACAGAGACCAGAAACTCTCCGGAATCTTGGAGGTCATCCTGGCTGGCCGTTGTCTGGTCAATTTTGTTCGCAGCTCCGGACGACCGGGAAGTCCGATCCGGCCAACTCACACGGATCCTGAACCATCAAGCGCAGATTGGGCCAATCTGCGCTTGAAGAAGAAGACGCCTTGGTGGATCGTGGCGCAAGGAAGGGCGCACTACCTTGCAGGATCCGATTCGCTTCCTTTTGCTTGGGTTGCAGTTTGGCATGGGCTGCAATCGCTGGCCTGGTCCGAAGAGTTTCAATCCTTGTCCACATGCTCAGCTCCTCTTTAAGACGTCTTGAAGAGGAGCATAGCATCCTGCCAAGAGAAGTGCGACAAGGATTGATTCGGCATTCTGGCGGGTCTCGTAGCTAGAGGTTGTGGCAGAGAATGAAAGCCACAGTGTGACGGTCGTCACCGCAGACGTTTTGGGAGCTCCAGAAAATGCACGGCGATGAGGAGCTGCGCATTGCCCACTTCAAGGCGCCCGCTTGCTCAGGAGGCCTTCGGGGTCTCGGCGGATCTTCTCAGCTTTGAGGTGTTGTTGCTTCCCAGTCCCAGACTGTCCGAGACCAGTCTGAGCCTCTGCTCACGCTACTCCCTGCCGCACCAGAGGTGGACAGCGACCAGCAGGGGATTTCCTTGGTGGTCGCTGTGCACCTCTGGCAAGCTGCTGATTCAGGCGGCGGAGACCCAGGCCGGGAAAGGGCAGAGGGGCTTCAGTGTGGCTTTGTCGGTTTCGGTTTAGGAAGTCTGGGGCAGAGTCCATTCCTAAGTCCCGGCGTGACCGAGGCACGCTGCTGTTGAGAGACGGATGCTACGGTCATGTTCACCAACGACTTTTTGTTCGCTGTTGCAAGCCCTAGACCCCCGAAATCCCTAAACCAACATTCCACGCGAATGCGCCGGAGGAGCCGCGCTTCCTGGAGTGACTGTCGGACTCACTCACTTTGAAGAAAGATGGTCGGTGCTGCTGGTTCGGTTTCTGGTCCTAGACATCGCGGGGGGAAGGGGGAGTGAACTGCGATTTCGGTTTTGCCACGAACTTGACCAACTGGGGGAAGCCACAGGCATTGTCGACTGTCCTTTGCAGCGCGAGCCGAGGTCATCGAGTAGAGACAACTGCAATGCTAAGCTTCCCTGCCATACACAGCCATGCCGAGTGCCTGAACACCCAGCCCTCTTTCCGAAGCTCTGAACGCTCATCTGCCCGTCCACGGTTGCAGCCCGAGGTAGCACCGTTTGAACGCATGCTACTATAGGGCTTTGGATTTGAGCATGTCCAGCACAAGAGCAAGGGTAACAGAAAACACAGCTGGATGGGCAGCAGCCTGCCATCGAGAAGGACATCCTATTGCAATGATTTCACGACCACAATACATACCGCATATCTGCCTTCACCATGGTTTGTGCAGGGCGCACAGATTCCGATGCAAGCTGTACCTTCGTGGCTAGTTGTTCTTTTTTGGTTTCTTTGGTGTCGCTTTGCTTTGCCAGTGGCCAAAGCGAGAGCCACGGCCATGGTCAAGAATCTGCGCGTCAAGAAGAAGACGCCGGGGTGGATCGTGGCCGCCTCGAATGGCGGCACTACCTTGCAGGATCCGCTTCGCTTCACTTTGCTTCGCGTGCTAGAGTGGAGGGCGGGGGGGTAGGGGCTTGGGAGGCTTGGAGTAAAGGCGAAGAAGAGTGGAGTTGCAGTTTAGCATGGGCTGCAATCGCTGGCCTGGTCCGAAGAGTTTCAATGCAGGATGTTTCTCTCCTCTTCAAGATCCGAGATGGCACACCGGAGCTGGGAAGTGGGAAGGGAGAGAGGGACTCGTTGGGGTTTGTGTGGCTTCTTGCAATCCTGAGGCATCAGAGCTTGTCAACAAAGCCTTCGGCAGTGATACTTTCTGTGCATTCCCAAAGTCTAGCCCCGCGAGTCTCCCAGGAAAGACGCTGCAGCAATAGAAGCGACACTCGTCGTCGTCGTCGTCGTAGTTGCTGTAGTAGTCTTAGTTAGTAGAGTAGGAGTAGGAGTAAGAGCACAGAAGCAGAGTAGGTCTTCGTGGGACTGGTAGGACTAGTACGACTGCAGGACCAGTAGGAGTAGTAGGAGAAGTAGTGGAGGTCGCCGTCGAAGTCGTAGTCGTAGTCGGCGTCGCGGTGGCAGGGCAGGGGCACTAGCTGTAACAGTAGCAGCAGAAATAAGGATAATGGTGCAGCCACTACCTTTATTACGAAAGCGGCCCAGAACGTTGATCATCTTCATCATCATCATCATTCCTGCATTTGCCTTGTCACAGCAATAATCATCACCGTCAGCACCTCCGTCGTGATCTCTCTCACACACACACAGAGTCTCCGTTAGCAGGATCAAGGCAAAGATAGCGCCTGTGATCATCAGAATCATGACGACAACCGTAGTCATATTCCTCATGGCTGGCTGGACTGGTCCAAAACCAGCAATCTCCATCTTTGCCACCGTCATAACTGTTCTTCGTCGCCTGCACCCTGGATTGGGGTGTCGCGAGGAGGAAGCGCGGGTCGCCGCCGCCTACATAGACCCAACATGGAAGTTGCTCCTCGGCTTTCTAGCAAGTCCTCAAAACCAGCCGTTGTCCGGTCCTGCGACCTGCGAGTGCTTGCCCATTTTTGCAGCAGTGCTGTGTGTCCTCTCCTTGTGCTCTGAGGCGTGGGCAGACTGCCGTCTACTTTGCGGCTGCACGGAAGGAGGGCTTCGGATGTCATCCTGGCTGCGGGATGCTCGTGAACTATCGAACATTACATTATTACATAAAGTGATCACCCGGTCGTCGTCGATGCGCTCATCTCAGCTATGCACCATGCAGACTTTCCCACATGTACCGAACGTACGGTAGATCGGCTGCGCAGACATCATCACCTCCTGCTGGAGGCTTTGGCAGCATAGGCGCCATCAGCCAACATCACCAACATCGATGCTATCAGACATGCTTGAACCATCGGCGCGGACGTAGCTATCGCAGCCGCGATGGGTTGTGAGAGCTGCAAGCACCGGTGAAACGGGCGTACCACTCCTTCGTGGAAGATCTGCCTATTAACGAACCCTCAACGGACTTATCACCCACAGACCCAGAGCCATCTGCTTAAAGGGTCGGTGCGCAGGACCCCTCTGCCGAGGAAATCTGTCGCTTTTTGCTGAGGCCATGGGTGGCGGCCGGGAAGGGCAGGGGGGAGGGTTGAAATAGACGGCAAATTCGGAGTCAGAAGCGCGAGCTGCCAGCTCTAGACTCTAGGCACGAAACTTCATGAAGTTTGGAGAAATCCATGCGCAGATGGGCTCCAAGCTCCCTGTGTCGTAAGATTGCTTGTTCATTACAGTCTACTATAGGTTTCCTGATGTAGGTGATTCTGGCAAACCGTGCACAGCCTAAAGGTGTTCTTGGCAGAAGCTTTAAAGGCACATCCGGGGCACATCGATTGAGCTTCCTACAGAACGGTTCATAGGTGTACCGCCACCCTATCATAGAGGGACTTGAATGAAAAGGACACTCGACCCCAATCTCTACACCACCGAAACAGTCCCATGGAAGCCTCAAAAGTGCGTATGGGCCCTGCGCTCTGCTTACATAGCCGAAAACTCCTGAAAATTCCCAGCGAGAGAGAGAGTCCGTTTTTGGAAGTTCCGTCATCGCCTCCCCCGGCCGATGACGGTCTTTTGAAAATTGTGTGTTGGGAGACGGAGCCCAGAACTGCGAAGCATCTTTTTTGGGGTTTTGGGTTTAGGGTTTAGGGTTCAGCCCAGCTTGGAAGCAACTCCTGAAGCAGTGGCTGTGGCACTTCATGTGGGCCCTTGTCGCGACCCCTTCAGCGTCCCAGTCGACTCGGCGACGAGCCGCTGCCAAAGAGCGACGACTGGGGGCAAAGCCCCTTGTTCCTCGGCCGTGTGGCAGTCGGGTTTGGTTTCGGCTGGGGGACTGACAGTGCCGCTGGATGTCTTTGGTGCTCGCAATCAGACCGACCAGGGTCGGGTGCTTCTCTATGGGGTTTAGGGTTTAGGGTTCTCCTCTGAGTCGTCGTGCAGTGGTTCGAGTACGGGGCGTCGATTTGATAAGAA